TTATTAGTGCTTTATAAATAAACTGGACTGGACTGGACTGGATTTCTGTCAGGAGCACTGGTCTCCACAATGCAGTGCCCAGTTTTGGGGAGAAGACAGAAAAGTAGAAAAATGTCACTGTCTTGTGACAGCATGTTGTGGTACTTTAACAATACTCTTTCTGACGAGACGAACAACATATATATTTATGAAACGATAAAAGTATCCCAGCTTTAGGCAAAATATTGCATGGATACTAAATGCTGAATATTAAATACTTTATGCTTTGAAGACATTCCCAGGGCACAAAGTTGATACAGCGCTAATAATAGTCTCGTTGAAAGATAGCGATTTTTCCATTTCCACCGTTTCTGTCGCGGACTGTACCATTCTCACCGCTGGGGGACAGGAATGCTACAACTCACCACAACATTATACGTATTCAGTACGAACATACCAAATCTCCTCATTCCAAACCAACCATGCATATTATGTATACACAGGTATGAACCTACTACATTAAGTTTGTGTAAAATAGAATAAAAATAGCGCATACATGCATTAAAACAGAAACAAATACAGAAAGAGACCCCTCCGGTTGTGACATGGTTGCGCTGGATGTAAAGGGAGCTCCGTGCCACATACTGCGGGGAAAGATATCCTTCACACCGGAATGAGACGCTACGGGACCGGGCTGAAGCTAAAACATCGTCCTATGTAGTTTTCGAGCTGTTTTATATCCCATAGTCGCTTCCGGGGCGGAAAGTGCGGACTCCACTCCAAGTTAACGGGACTTCGCTGCTGCCGCTGCCGCTGCCGCTGTGATAAAGACACCGGGGCTTCAGAATACAAAAGGCTGAACAGGTATGAGATGTAGAAGTCTGCCTTCATCTGCATTTAAGATCGAGAGCACTGTAGTGATGAAAAAGAGGATGGAAAAATAATTGTTCCACCCATAGAGCGCAAGTATTAAAGCTGGGGTACCTAACTTACACACCACATGTTCTTTATGTACATTTCACCCAACACATGTCTATGTCTCAAAATAGTTTAGTTCCACATGTTTTCTTATGCTTTGGCACGTTTCACTGCTTTTTCAGACAGATAAGAGAACAAAAAGAATCTAACAACCTCACTCAGCCTGGTGAGTCAAATAGTGACTCATAGGGCTCTTTCATTTCTTACAAGTTTGTAAAAGAGGAAAGGTTTTCTTTTAGAAAAAGTCAGCATGTGTGTTTGCTCACAAACTCACACAAGACAGTCATGGGGAAAACAAAACTTTTTTGTACCAAAGCTTTCCAGACAAATGAAAGAAATTTCTTTTATGAGCTCCTTGTTTTTACAGTGTTCCCTCGTCTTTCTCTTTCCCTAAAGTTTAATTCCCATTGATATCTGATTTTTTTTTTAGACTTTTTTAGACAATTTTCACACCACAAAAATTTGGAACTAAGTAGTAAAAATAGTTCTGCGCGTTTGGTTCTATAACTAGTTTCACATGCGTGGTTTTCGGCCTCCGTCAAAGAAGGCAGGTGAAAGAAAGAGAACCGCCATGAAAATGGTCTGATTTGTTTGAATATTTTACTTTTGCAAGGCTCTTTGAATGATGTACTTTGAGTGTTTGTTGATTGTTGATTGTTGAGAGTTTTTATAGAAACTTCTGCCCCAGAAAGTTCAGTCATTGGTTGTTGTTAGTTGTATAGTATGTTTTTTTCCCTTTTGATTTACTTTTTTTATTTTCCTAGAAACAGGTCCAGGGCACAAATAGAAATTAAACAAAAACATTCTATACAACCAAACATGATTCAAGGCTGTCAATGGCCCTGCCCCAGGTGTTGATGACACTCTTCTTTGGAAAAAGGTCATTCCCAAAAGATCATGTGTAACCAAATGGGTTTCTTGCAGAAAATTGCAGAATTGCAATCGGGATCATTTGATTTAAAATGTCAGAAGCTTTAATTGGATTATTAAGACCTCCTGCGTTGAAAAGCCTCAGCTGAGTAGAAGTATCCATCCATCCATTTTCTTCAGATTAATATGTTGCCGGGTTGCGAGGTGTTCCCAGACCAGCTGAGAGACATAGTCCCTCCAACGTGTCCTGGGTCATCCCCTGGGGTCTCTCCACCCGACAGGACATGCCCGGAACATCTCCCCAGTGAGGCGTCCAGGAGGCATTCGGAACAGATGTCCTAGCCACCTCAACTGGTTCCTCTAGACGTTGAGAAACAGCAGCTCTACACCGAGCTTCTCCCGTGTGACTGAGCTCCTCGCCCTATCTCTAAGGGTGCGCCCAGCCACTCTGCGGAGGAAGCTCATTTCGACCGCTTGTATCCGCGATCTCGTCCTTTCGGTCATTACCCAAAGCTCATGACCATAGGTTAGGGGAGGAAGCTCATTTCGACCGCTTGTATCCGCGATCTCGTCCTTTCGGTCATTACCCAAAGCTCATGACCATAGGTTAGGGGAGGAACGAAGATTGACCGGTAAATCGGGAGCTCTCCACCCACCTGGAGAGGGAAAGTCACTGTCCAGTATCGCCACTCCCAGGGGCTGTCATAGTTGATCCCAGATGAATCCTATTGGCTCCTTCTCATGTGCTTGTCAGTCGATTGAGAGACATAACATCTTTGATGCCAGAGATAGCTGGTATCGAAGATGCAGCTATCTGTTGTAGGATATGATTTGGTTTTTATTTGGTTATAACCATGCTGTGTTCTATCAGCCACTGTTTAATAAAATAAAGGGTTTTAGCAGAGATGAGAGGATGGCGGTGCGCCTTCAGACCACCATCTTCCACTTCTGACTTCCCAATAACTTCTTATAGTCAGACCTGAATTTTTCTTCCATCAAAGACTGTCTGAATCACACTCAGTCAAGCATGTGTCAAATATTATGGAATATATTTCATAACTTATTTTTTTTGTATTTAAGGACTAAACAGTCAAAGTAACTTCCCACTTTCATGCGAGTCGTCATTTTGTGGCCATATTAAGGTGACAAAAATAGCTAATGAAATCTCATTCATAGCTCTTTATTAATTTGCAATTTACCCAGAGGGACTGCTCCCATTGACAGAGTGTTTCTCAACTGTCAACTCAAATGAAACAAAACTTAAAATATATCATGACTTCAGTTGGCACTTAACATATTCCATTGTGCATATTTAAAAATTATGAAACAGATTGCCCAGCGCATTATTGTCATTATCATGTAGCATTTGAAATCTTAATTCTAATCTCAATTGTGCAAACCGTGTCTGTGACATATGTTGCTCTGGACAGAGGTGTAAGATTATAAATTACTAAAATCAACTGTGAGAGTGTAAATGCCAGTGCAATATACCATCATTTGAGCATTCATGTTGAAGAATTAGAAATAATCATTAACATAGCTTCAACTGTAATTTTACTTGTATCGGAATATAGCCATTTGAAGATATGATATCAGTGCAGCCATGAGAAGGAGCTGGTCTAAAAATAGCCTCCTTAATGGGGACACATCTGCCACAGGAACACTGCATATTACCGTATTATACTTTATACTTTCATGTGAGACTCCGCAAGAACAAAAACAGTTCTTTGCTCCTCCCACTTAATGATCTATTCTTCACCTTCACTATTGTCCAAACTGCACCTGAAGATATAAGCAGCTCACTTTTTTTTTAATCTCTCAGGGATGTATCAGAATTCATATCTACAATTTACACCAAGCGACACACATAAGGTATAGAACAAAGAAGTAAAGATCCAAGGCACTTGATTTTTAAGAATAAGAATTTATAAATATCCTTTATTCCTATAAGGACATGACGACACATTTTGACCCCTTTCAGTGTCTCTTTATCAGGGTATTAGTTACACTATTGATACGAATGACATGTCACTTGACAACTGATGGCATGAAAATTAAAGACCTCTGTGTGGCATATTCTGGCTTATCCCTGTGGTCATAAGCCAGAAAATTGCCACATTGACGTGTTAAAAAAAACAGGTACCGTTGATCTAAATCAAACATTGCATGGTCTCATGGGACCTCTGGATGTTCCATGATTTCAGGTCAAACACAGAAGCAGCTGCTGCAGTGAATTCTCTTTGGGGAAAGCACCTTGTTTGAATTCCTCTAATGAACCGACGTAAACATTGCGCTAAAATGTAGTTATCAGAGCACTACTATTTTCCATCCATCCGTACAGGGGCAGCAGTCTAAGCAGAGACGCCCAGACTTCCCTATCCACACACACCTCCTCCTCTAGTCACCCTGATAATAAATTTACATATTGTGTTTTTGACATCCGTGCTACAGTGTCACATGCTTCACAATGGCAGTGTGACCATGGCACTATGTGGATACTGCTGTGATTTAGGGCTATACAAGAATACAAGAACAAGTGATATTGCTGCAAGTTACATTTGAATAAACAAACAATAATTAAATGAAAGGGGTGACAGTGGCTCAGTTGGCAGAGCATTGGGTGGCAGCTCTGATTGTCACCCCCCCGACCCAGAAATGGACTAAGAAAGGGGTTGAAAATTGAATGAATCAATATTGTTACAATGATATCCCTAACCAATTAGGCAAAAAAAATTCAAATTAAAACACGGTGGTGCAGCAGTTAAAGCGTATACTTCAGATACTTGGTCCTTAGTTCAATTCCTGGACCAGACAGGGCCAGTCGGTGTGGTGTTTGTCTGCTCTCCTTGTGTCTGCCTCTTGGTTTACTCTTGGTGCTCCAGTTTCTCCTACCACTAAAAATATGTACAATAGTTCAGGCTGTTGTGGGCTGAACCTGCAGTGACACCCTACCCCAGCGATTTAGTGCCACAGAACAGTTCAACGTCAGACAATAATCGATCTGACCTGCACCCAAACGCAATAGAGTGTGGGTTTTAATGTTCTGTTTTATGTTGTATTAGCTTAGCTCCTCAAGTTCCTCCGCAACATTTCTGTTTACATTTCAGCACTACCATGTCACGTTGAAAAGTAAGTATATATGCGACCCAATTGATCTTCACCTCCTTCAACCCTCATCTCATCTCATCTTCGCCTGTGGTCCCGTTTGGGACATAGGCCGCCAACCAGCTTCCTCCAGGCATCTCGGTTCTGGGCGAGTCTCTCCAGCTGCCCCCACGTCTTTCCCATCTGCTTGACATCTGCGTCCAGATCTCGGCGCCAGGTGTTTCTAGGTCGCCCTCTCTTCCTCTTTCCTTGAGGATTCCAGGTGAGAGATTGTCTAGTTATACTGGACGCGGACTTGCGGAGGGTGTGACCTATCCATCGCCAGCGTCTCTGAAGGATAGCTTCGTCAACGAGCTGCTGGTTCGTTTTCGTCCATAATTCTTCATTGGATATCTTTTCTGGCCATCGGATTTTTCAACCCTAGTGTGTTGATAAAATGAAAACAGCTTACACAAATTAGCCATTTTGTTTGTTTCTGTTTATTACATATTGACATGTCTCTCTCATCGTCTCTCTATATTGTGTATCCAATCAAAAGATTTGCACGCTCTGACGCTGTAGGCCCTTTGTAAACTTTGTAAAACTAGGAAATTAAGAGTATAGACTATGGAGAATAATTTAACACATATTTGTGGAAAGTTTGTGTGTGCCCTCAGTCGTACAGGGATTAGTCAAAGCAAAGGAAGGTTTCTCACCCATCATCTGTACTTCTTAGCAAGTTTTCCCGACGTTTCGTCCTCAATCCTAAGGACTTCTTCAGGGATATTTGTGGAAAGATTAAAAAAAAACCCATCTAATTAGGCCAGCAGAGTAGAGGCCCTGAGGCTCTGCCACTGAATCCAGGGTAATTGAGTGAGCTCCTTTGAGTGTGAACATGGGAATAATATTTTTTTTCCATTTTATCTTTCATCAGAAAAATGTTTGTATGAAGCCAGGTTCCCGGAATCCTGTATTAATGCGCTCATGTACTTGGAGTGACAAACTTGTTGGACTTAATGAGCTCATGTTCCCGACTTCAGGAGCAGTAACACAGGTCACATGTCCCACACTAGGTCCATAGAATGCAACTACAACTCACCAAAAATATGACTCACACAACACCGAGGAAAATCCATCTGTGAAAGCACTCTGGATTGTCACACATCGCGGCTGCACAACTGCGTAGCACTGTGTGAGCAAAACCAGGTCTAAAATTGGACAGAACTGTGGGAGAAAAGTACACACCTTTTATGTGTTATTATGGAGAAAGCTTAAAGGAGAAGGTTCTGTGTCTTTCACATGAAGGAATAAGCCTCAAAACATCACTCCTTTGAACAAAGCTATTTTTCCCTCTAACCTTTGGAACCGTATGTCGACTTGCTCTCAAATCATTTGGGTTCTATTGCTAGAACAGTGCAGTCTACAACACACATTTGGTCCAGTGAGCAGGATGTAACGCTCAGGCCCTTGGAGCGTGCATTACAACAAAATAAATAGAGGTAATTGTGACAATTTAAACACTTTGTGATCGATCTAACGCTAACTAACAACAACTCAGTGACCTGCTGTGCGACAGCACGTCATTTACTCAGTCCAAAACAAATGATAACAATAAAAAACAGTTAACTGTTAAAAAAACAATTAACTGTATTTGATCATTTTTTCATGTGTTTTTAAACCTTAAATTTGATTTAAATTTGACTCCTGAATACTTAACCTGCTCTGCAACTGCATTTTGTGTCCATTGATTAAGATGCTTAGTCAATTTGGACGGTTGTGTCTAGATTTAGGGTGAGAAATTAAGCCACTGTGTCACTTTTTTCATCTCATTTTTATTTATTTTTTTCTGTAGTTTTGCCATGAGCATTCACCACAGTGTCATCAGCACATAATAATATTACTCTGACACGGTCGGCAGATCATATCTGTAAAGTGTGAACAGCAGGGGCCCCAGAATGGACCCTTGTGGAACTCCTACGCTGCTATGTCTTAAAGGTGAATTTATATTATTAACAGCAGCACATTGGTGTCTGTCCTTGAGGCAAGATTGGATCCAAGTTTTAGTATTTATGTCAAGAAGATTAAACAGTTTGCTGATGAAAAGTTTTCAGTTGACGGTGTCAAAAGACTTTCTCAAGTCTAGAAAGACTGCTCAAACCTGCCTCAGTGTGGTCAAGATGCTCCACTAGCTGCTCTGCTACCACCTTCTTAAATATTGGCACATTGCTGTCTGTATTCTGTATTTCCATTTGAGACAAAGGGCCTGATAATCATACACAACTACTAAATGTAGCAACTGCTAAATGTATTATTCTCTGACTAATAGGGTTACTATTGGGTCTTTCCACAAATCACAAACAAAATCGTACGTATGTTTCCATTTGGTCCAGTGAGTAGGAAATATGCAAAAAACTGTCAAAATGATGAGACTGATTTGAATGCTTATGAACCACAGTCAAATCCAGGGATCTGCACAGACTGACATGGCAATAGACTGCTATTCTGTAAAAAATGCTTTCTTTTCAAACTTGATAGACTTTGACAAATCTTCAAACTGTTATATCATAATGAAGCTGTTTCCTTCTTCCGGAAGGTGAATTTATCCAGTTACATGGCATTCTCTGTAACAGCTTACAGAGAGCTATCGATATTATCATAAAATCCAATGTGTTGGTACTTTGACCTTTGGAAATGTTCCACTCTGTTGGGTGATGATGCACAGACCGCATTGGACCTGAAATAGTTGTCTTTGTGTGTCATACTTGGTCTTTTCTTGTGCGTCTGCCTCCGCACTGCTTGGAGCCGGCCCTCCCACTCACACTAGCAGAGGTGCATGTAAAAACCATCCACATTTCAGAACAAAGAACACTGTGATAGCTCTGTGCCTTGGTATTGTTCACAGACAGAAGCACTATTATTAGGCCTGTCATCTCAAATCTCAACATGTGAAGATGAACCAAATGTGAACTACCTAATGAAGGTACAAAATCTGACAAAACACAACATTTGTATCTGAATGTTGTTGTGTACATAGTAAACCACTGAAAATAGAAGATGAACAAAAAAAATACATTGTTACACTGCTAATAATAAAAACATGTTTTATAAAAATAAGAAATTACTTGGATTACATTTTTGTTTCATTTTTATTGGACTATTAAGAATTATATCACAATTATATCAATTATAATGATACCTTCAAACCTTTATTATTATTACTTCTAGATTCCTTACTTAAAGCCATATAGTAAAATAAGTACAAAAAGGTGGTGTTTTCCCTAATGATCTATTATTATTTTAAGTAAGCACATAAGTAAGTAATGTTTATTTATATAGCACATTTTATAGACCAAGGTCACCCGAAGCGCTTTAGAGTCAGATATTGTTCCAATCATTCCACACTCGGTGAAGACAGAAGCGAGTCCAGAACACACTGGACCATCAGCTCCAACACCACCCATTCACTCTCTCATTTACATTCAGACCTATTGTGCATGTTTTTAGTGGTAGGGGACACCGGAGCACCCGGAGGAAACCTACGCAGATAAGAATCTTGTTTGGCATAAATTTCATATTTATGGACTACTTGTCTATATAGTCACTACTTTATAGTTACTTGTAAATTTAAATCTACCCAAAACAATATAGAAACGGTTTGATTCTCTAATCTGTTGTTGGTTGAATGACAAATTTGTAAAGTCCTCCGAGACGACTCCTGTTGTGATTTTAAGGCTATACAAAAAAATAAAGTTTATTTAATTCAATAGAAATGAAAAGTCCACTGTGACCTGTAGGAAACAGCCCCAGTGGATCTCGTTGTCGTCAGCGCTGTTGGAAGCACCAGTTTTCATCGGCTCATCTGAGATTAAGTTGAAGGGTCTTTGTTGTTACCAATTATACATGTTTTACATCTTCTCATTGACAGCATTGAATTGTCTGACATTTTGCATCAAGTGTGGGTGTGAAATTTAGCACTACAAGTTTTAAGTAAAAAACCATTGCACACTGAGCCAATTCACTTTGGCAACAAAATGATAATTCAAGGGACATAAAGAATAGATACAAATTTGCGATTAATCGAGAGTTAACCATAACATTCACGCGATTAATCCTAATTTTAAAAATGAATTGTAGGACAGCAGTTGTATTATTATAATGTTGTTCCAATTATCTGCATTTTACTAAAATGATTGGTGCAACCTGATTGCCTCCTCTTGTGTCCTGCAGAGAGCTGCTGTAGCGACGCGTCGAAGCCATGGGCAAACAGAACAGTAAGCTGCGTCCAGAGGTTCTCAATGACCTGAGGGAGAACACAGAGTTCAGTGACCATGAGCTGCAGGAGTGGTACCGCGGCTTCCTCAAAGACTGCCCCACAGGACACCTGACTGTGGACGAGTTCAAGAAGATCTACGCCAACTTCTTCCCCTATGGAGACGCATCCAAGTTTGCCGAGCACGTATTCCGCACATTCGACACCAACGGAGACACCACCATAGACTTCAGGGAGTTCATCATCGCCTTGAGTGTCACTTCTCGAGGAGGACTGGAGCAAAAGCTACGCTGGGCCTTTAGTATGTACGACCTGGACGGCAATGGATACATCAGCCGAGCCGAGATGCTGGAGATCGTACAGGTGAGGAGAACTTACAGAGATAAACGTCCACACCATGTATTTAACAATCATTCTACTATATTCGTACACATGCTTTATAACGGCCTCTTTTTTACAATAGTTGTATTTGTTTGTGATGCAGTGTTGCCATCAGTTGGCCTGGTTCCTAACCCATCTAGTCCACGATAAACACATGAGGGACTGAGCCCTGTACTCACAGTGGATCTGTCCAATCTGTGCCTCTTATCTGCCCTGCTTTTACCCTCAGCTACTGCACATCAATATTTACTCAGTCACTGTTTGTGGAAGTGACGGAGCGACTGAGCGACCCCTGACACTGAGCTGAGAGTCCTGGTTCTCCTTCATGGCCTCCTGTTGCGACATCCCCAGTTTCATTGATGCTTCTAATACTTATTTATTCTAATGTTGGGACACAACTCAAAATTAGAAGTAAAATAGCTCAAAATTATTAATTACCAATCCAGGATCAAAAAATATAAAGAACGAAAGAGGAGAAGCTCCAAGACACTGCGTCTCCTGACAAACCCCCCGGAGGGGTCAAATCACCAAGACAATCACCCTCTGACTGGTTAATATTCAGATTCAGATCAATTCTATTTGCCATTTGTAGTAAAGCCACACACGTGTGTGTGTGTGTGTGTCAGGATGTCTCATTAGTGTGTTTTGTGTGTCAGGCCATTTACAAGATGGTGTCTTCGGTGATGAAGATGCCGGAGGACGAGTCGACTCCAGAGAAACGCACAGACAAGATCTTCAGACAGATGGACATTGACAATGACGGTGAGACCTCTGCAGCCGGCCGAGGGCCACCACCAAGCCCTGATGGCTCTCATGCACGTGCACACAATTTTGGGATTTAGAAGGGTTAGTGCCCTCCTTCCTGTAATAAATGGCAGAATATGTTATGTTTAAGCAACATGAAGCACAGGGTCTCGTTTTCATGCTCAAGAATAAATGCTTTAGTTCTGATAAATTGTGTCTTATATTTTCCCGATCCCAAAGACACTCTCCTGAACCAGAAAGAGGGTGAGGACTCGCAGACTCCCCAGAGAGACTCCTCTGTACTAAACTTAACCATAAGCTTGAGTTTGATTTATTCAGTGGAAAGCTCCAGTTTACAGATGATGTCTTTTTCCAAATGGCTGAAATAAAACGTGTGTCTTCTGCGTTTGCGTAGACGCAGTGGGGCTAGTGTTACATGTTGATGGGAACACTCTGTTTATGGTTCATTATTTATAGACGCAGAGTTCTTTTGTTTGAACAATGAGTTGTCATAAGGCTTTTACAAACTGCAGACCGTCTTTTTTCACCTGGCTTCAAATGAGAGGTCGACGTAGGAAACGGAGGTGTGTTGCTTTGACCCATGTTGGATTGTCAGAGACATGCATGTACCAAAATAAAAGGGTCAAAACAATATTCCCTCTTTCAAAATAAGTCTCTAAAGTCCCAGCGCCGTGCACCAGAGGGAAATACATTATAGTGGTCTACGGCAGGGGTACCAAATTCATTTTGGTTGGGGGCCAAGTTTAAAAAACATCAGAGCTGGTTGGGGCAAAAAATACTTTTATTATCTTTTTTTTAATTTGATTACATATTTTTGTTAGTTTGGTCATTTTTTTCTTGTAGGTTTGGATTCAACCACAACTGGGCCACAGTTTTTTTGAGAAAAATTTATAAATCTTGGGCCTAACTTAACTACGACTTGTCTTGTTTTGCTGTCATAGTGTTGGCAAAGTATTGTTCCTTGGCAAGGCAAGGCAAGTTTATTTATATAGCACAATTCATACACAAGGCAATTCAAAGTGCTGAACAAAATAAGAAAGCATTAAAATCATAAATAATCACAGAACATCATAAAGAAAGCTAAAAAGATAAAATCTTTTTAGCTTTAGCTAAAATCTCTAGGCAACGGCCTAGAAAACTAGAACTGCCACATCCGTGCAGTTCTAGTTCCAACAATAATCTGTGTATAGACGGCAGTGCGAGCCAATCCTGTATGTAGATGAATAATACTAACATTTAAACTGAGCTTTAGGTAACGTGTGGAGTAATGGCTTTGGAATAGCTGAGAGTGTCAGGCTTCTGCTTCTGATGAGTTTTAAAGATGAAACGTGTTTTTGATCTGCAGGTCGTCTGTCACTGGAGGAGTTCATAAAAGGTGCCAAAAGTGACCCGTCCATCGTGCGCCTGCTGCAGTCAGATCAGAGCACGTCTGCACAGCTGTGACCGCCACCGGAGGGACCGCCACCGGAGTGACCGCCACCGGAGTGACCGCCACCGGAGTGACCGGACTGTCCTGTGTTTACACCGTGCAGAGGACTCTCTCTGGCTGCATCCCAATTCACCTAAAAATCTCCTTCCTTATCCTTTCTGACTTTTTAATTACTTTACCTAAGCAGTCTTTGAAGAGTGCTTCTACCTGCTACATGACCATCTATGACAGCCCTGCCGCGTGAATACTTAGTACATTTGTAATCTCAATATTGAGCTAAAACAATGTTTTAAGAGATTTGTGCAGACTTCTGCTTAGCTTCAGAGGTCTGACAGTATCTGGCTTTCACCTTCAAGTATGGCCTCAACTAACAATGTTTTTCCCTATCAAAAAAAACAAGCCTGAATTATCTGTATATCACAACAGAGAGTGTACATGAGTCAAAGGTGCAGGAACGGCTCCAACAACAGTGTGTCAAAGAACTTGAACGATTTAACAAGGGCAGGAGCAGACCATCAGACTCATGTGAAAAGACATCACTTTGACATTGTTTTAAAAGGACAAGTAAAGTCAAAAGGAGGAATGTTTCTGGTAATGCTCTCAAACACAGTTTGTTCCTCCATCCTCTGACGTCCATTGCTGCAGTGTTTCCCAAAGCCATGTGTCAATGGTCAATGTCAATGTCACAAGGTCAATGCCAGAACCTCAGCAGGAGTCCCGCAGAGAGAGAGCCTCTGGAGGTCAGTGGACCGTTGTCCAATGGTTCTAAGCCCAGTGGAATCTGTCTTTGCATGCGGCAGTAAAAACCACGGCTTCAACTCTTTGAAAATGTCCACAATGAACGCAGCAAGATGAAGGAGGTGGAGTTTAGGTCGACCACTGCAGGATTCTCACCACTGTCCAAACCTCTCCACGCTCCCCCAAGTCCATGCATCATGGAATGAGAAAAGAAGGAGGCCTGTCAAGAAGGAAAATGGAACTTTGTGATTTTAAGTTGAAAGTTAAACATAGTTTTGGTTTGTCCTGTAAATCCCTGCAGCACTAAAATAATACATTGTTCCTCGTCATAGAGAATGTGCCATATCACGTTTATACAGAGCTATGGAACTGTCCGGACTGTGTTGGGTCACATCATCATAATAACAAGTGTCTGTGGACTTTAGCCACTACAATGTACATAGCTCAATGTTTTATGGATTATTGTTCCTGACATTCCATGTGATTCACGCCAGTATATCCCGTGTTCTGGACAGGGTTATATTTGTAAATGAAGGTTTTTAAAGGATCTACAGAATGAGTGGTGTTGTTATTTTGGTGCACACACACATACACACACACACATGGACTTGGGGAAGACATTAATGTGTGCAGTCCTGATGTCTCTTATTAAAAAGCCAGCGCTTCCTGCACAGACCGGTTCAGTCAGTTCACATTCATGTTAGCGACGTGAAGAAAACCAGCTCAAAGTTCTCCCTGTGTCCTGCCTTTCATCATCTCTACAGTTTCTTTTTTAACTTAGTCTGAAGTGTGAGCGATGTGCAGAGAGTCAACTTCATGGCCATTTTAACACTACTAATCAAAATAAATCAGGTTTCTTAAGCGTTGTCATACTCATACTAGCCTCATACTAGCCCTGAGAAGCCCTGCACATGACTATTGATGTGCACCAGTTGTCATAAATAAAACATGTTTACCCTTAATAAACCTGGACTATACAGTTAAACATAATTTATTAACATAAAAGAGATATTACAAACTGTGGCTTACTTTATTGGATAAAAATCCGTCTTGAAATACAATGGAAAAAAAATGATAATAAATTGCATTTTACCCGTACACAATTTCAACATTCAGCTAAGTTTTACATGAATCCCTAAACATTGCACTTGCAGTATGTGTGTTCAAGGAAGGTTTGCTGTGGTCACTTGTGTCACTTTGGAGCACAAACTACTGACCTCTGGTGGATAAATACCTGCATTACAAGTATCTGATCGTATACTGTACATATTTGAATAGTTTATTGTCAAAATAGGTTAAACGGATAGATGAATACTTTATTGATCCCTGTAGGAGATATTCAGGTGTCCAGCTACAGATACATTCCAATAGATACAATAGTAATCAAGTGCAACAGCACGGGTCACAGCAGCAGAGGTGGTGTAGCCTCTGGGTGGAGCAGGACGGGTCACAGCAGCAGAGGTGGAGTAGCCTCTGGGTGGAGCAGGATGGGTCACAGCAGCAGAGGTGGAGTAGGACGGGTCACAGCAGCAGAGGTGGAGTAGCCTCTGGGTGGAGCAGGACGGGTCACAGCAGCAGAGGTGGAGTAGCCTCTGGGTGGAGCAGGACGGGTCACAGCAGCAGAGGTGCTGTTGCTTTCTCTGAAGTGATTAGCTGCTTCATTCCCTTCTCTCTGGTTAAGCGTGACATTCTGAATGCTTTATCAAACTTTAATCTAATAAAAAAGCATCCCTCCAGAGGATTGCACCATGCACTCTCTGCTCTGCTCTGGATCAGTGTAAAACCATGAACACTGTACTGCAGAAACACTTAGAGCTTAGAAAAAAGCAAGAACAACAACGAAGAATCCAACATTATAGGAAATACATGAATGTTGTCTCATACATTCTCAAAAACATGTTTGAGGAAAGGGACCTCTTTATGAGCCTGTTCTCACTCAGAATGCCTTCGACACATTTTCATTCTTGCGTACACACTTAAAAGAATGTGCAGAGAAGATGTTTTGGTTTCCCTTTTTATTTTATTAACAAAAACGTTCTGTTCACATATTTGAAATAAAGTTGTGTAAGAAAAATCTACACAACAAGTAGTCTCACATTGTCCTGCCTCGTGCCCCAGTTACACACATTACTAATACACAATTACAAATGATTCGCAATGGCTTTCTGTAGCTCGCCTCATGGCATGAAATCAAAAATAATTTTCCAATGATTTCATCACAGGCAGGAGATGGAAAGATGGAAGAATTTCACTGCAAAACTCAACATTTGTATATTCTTATCTATTATTGGAGAAATGTGACCTCTGTGACTGAGCAGCTTAAGCTTTGGGAAAGTAACAATTCAGAGCTGCCTTTTCATATTCAGGTTTTTGATCTTTTGGACTCAATCCACATTTTCAAAAGGAAAAAGCCTTTATATTAAACATGTTCCAATGTTGTGTGTTTGACAGAATAGATCCAATGTGGGAAAACATTTAAGACATTTTTTTGATGCGGTCTGAAGATGCCTCATCCAAAAACACACAGTTAACGCCTGCTGTAGTGAATCACATTCTTATATAATAATCTAAGGCACAAAGAAAGTAATTAGACTGGAGCAAACCCCAGAGTTGGGCTGAGGAGAGACACTGTCTCTGAGACAGTGCTGTGACGTTGACAGATATGGCCTTATTTCCAGCGGTCAGATTGAGTTTTGCAGTGAAAGAGTCTGGCACCTTCTAAAACACACATGTTGAACAATAATTGAGCGAGTGGAGTCCGGATGCAGACCGTCCCTCTGTTGGTCAAAACAAACTCAGGCTTTGGGAGCGTCCGGGAGAGTCCGAGGTGGATCACATTTGTAAAATCTAATGTTACGTGTTTAGTCCCAGTCTGTCTGCAGTTTATTTTAGTACTTGATTATTTTTTTTGTTACAGGTTGTTGATTATGACATTGGGCTAGAAATCACACTAAAAAAACAAACAATTATTTGACAAATAATCAGTGTAGTAGAACTTGTGACGTAAAACAAATTAGCCTAACATCACTTTAAAGCAAGTTCTGTCTGATCCTACTGCGATGACATGAGCTGTCGATTTCTGCTCCATTTTCATTATTTTCTTTATGAACTGAATTCAGTGCGGGATGCCGTCTCGTTCCACAGAAAAGGGAAAATAAAATAAAAAGTCAAAAAATATATATATATATATAAATCCAAAAACCCCGTCATAGACAATGTGCAGATGTCATTTCTGCTCTGCCACAATGCGCCGAGAGAAGTGTGTCTGTGCGGACGTGTCTTTGTAATAGTGAGACAAACACTCGGCCGGCCCCGGCCCCGGCCCCGGCCCCGGCCCCGGCCCCAGAGTGGAACAGGAGCAGTTGTTGTGCACAGTTCAGAGGGACAGAACATGGAGTCATTTCAGTAACTGCAGCGTCCCAACTGTCCCGGGGAGAGGAGTGGGTCCTGTGGAGCTGGAGCTAAAGACCGTGTCCAGACCTGGTCTCATAACTCTATTTTGCGAAACTCTTCATCCAGGTCCACGTCGCTGAGGTCATACTCCTCCTCCTCAGGAAGCTGTTGACATGAGAAGGAAATGAACATCAAGGCCTCCACAAAAAAATACTAGGGTTGCTAGTTTCAATCCAAATCTAGTTGTATTTAAATACAGTTACACTTAAATGTATGAAAATGTTTCTGTCTGGTTCTGTCTGGTTCTGTCTGGTTCTGTCTGGTTCTGTCTGGTTCTGTCTGGTTCTGTCTGGTTCTGTCTGGTTCTGTCTGGTTCTGTCTGGTTCTGTCAGGAGCAGTGGTCGTCGCAGTTTACTTTTCCCTGAAAACATCTAGTTATAGTTTAAAGCTGGAGAAGTCAAACAAACAAATGTAAAAACTGAATAACTGAATAACTAACCAAAAATACTTATACTAGTGATATAACTAAACTATCATATTCTTAGATCAGCTTTTTCAAACTGGAAATGTGAAGAGAAATGGAAAACAGAGCCACCCTCACTCAGCCAATCAGCTCTCAGCCCAGCGAGTCAAACAGACTCACCATCACTGACCTCACGGGGATAGAGTTTTACAAGAACTGGTTTGGAAAAGATCATGTTTTCCAAAACAATTTTTACAGAAAAAAAAAAAAAAAAAAAACAGGGTTTCTTAAATGTGCACGAGCTCAGGTCATGTGATGTCACATTGTGAATGCAGTGAGAACACAGACCTGTCCATCCTTTCCATCCCAGGGCTCAGCTGAGCTGATCTTTGGCATGTTCCCTCCTCCCAGGGTCGCAGTAGAGCCACGGCCCACCGACAGCTCCCTGTCATGTGCGCACGCACAGACACACACAGACACAGACACACAAACACGTTAACAGTAGGATACACTTGAAGACAAGGCACAAGAGAAAGCAGGCAGAAGAAGCTGTGAAAATGTGTACATTGAGTTACCGGAGGAACTCGTGGATTCCTGTCTCGCTGAAGGAGCCGCGCATCAAAGCATACTTCATCTTGCGGGTGTTGATGGCGGCCATGGCGGGGTAACCAAAGCCTCCGATGCCCAGCGCCGCTTCCAGGTCCATCTGTGCACCCGCCTCGGCCCAGAGCCAGCTGCACAGGACAGAAGAGGAAACCCTCCCTTGATTCTCACTTCCATCTTATTTTAACTAAACAGAACATGCTACAGTCACTAAACATGACCATGTGCCTCAACCATGTGGCCACAATGTCCACAGTTCACAAAAATATACAAATATAACATATCAGGTCAAAATATGGAACTTTTGGTTTTAAAATGCTCATCTTCAGTGCAGGGGTGTCATTTAGATGGACATTTGGAATTAGACCGTCCAAGTCTCATATGTACTGGCTTACCCCATCAATGTATAATGATAACAACTGGGTATGCTATTGCTAGCTTGAGCTGGTCCCAAGCCCGGACGTAGGCGACCCTCTTGCCTCACCAGGGATATCCAGGCAATGTCCTAAGGTTAAAAAAATGGCTCATTTTTGGCTGCAATAGAACCTACAGCTTTCTCAAAAGGTCCGATTTTGTGGAGATTAAGTCTTCCTGAACTGTTATAATTATCATCTATCCATCTCTGCCAATGTTTGGGTCGTCCAAAAGACCATGAACACGGGCCATTGGTTTGAATCTACAGACATCTTGGATCAATGAGCTTACCCCCACATCTTCTTCTTGTACTTGTCGGCCATCTTCCTCATGACGTCCAGATAGGCGTTCCTTCCAGAGGCCCCTGCAAGACACACGTTTTAGTGATGTGCAGATGTGAGGAGCCGCTACAGTGAGGAGCCGAGCAGCAGAGGGTCTCACCAGTGTCCAGGATGTGAGGCAGCACTCCGATCACACACAGCTGACTGTCCTCACACGTCTTCTTCACAGACTCTTCATTCAGGATCTGAGCAGCCACAAAACACAGACATGAATATAACAAAGTCTGGTGTGTGAATGGTTAGTAGCATCGACCACTGTACGGAATAATGCCATATGAAGCGTCTGAGTGAAAAAAGACACTATTTAAATATCACACTTTTGAAATGATTAATCATAATTAATTTCTGTCTGAATTTCTACCTTTTTCAAAGAATAATTGGTTATACTTTATTTCTCATCACTTTTCTGCACACGCAGAGGAGCAAACAAACGTTTAGTGATCAGAGCCTTCACTGTGGAAGTGAGTATTGGGAGACCACAGACCAAGAGAATATTCGTGGATTAAACCATGATTAATATTTTCTTCTTGTTTAGGCACTGACCTCAACCAGCTCAGGTGGAGGGGCGTTATCCGAGAACAAATCCAGGGCTGCGTTGATGATGTCGCCTCGCGATCGCCCGCCCTGGTAGTCCTCCGGCTCCTCTCCTTTACGGAAGATCTTAATGGTGGGGAAGCCTCGGATCTGGAGTGGTGAAAGGAGTGTTCAGAGTGACATTCAAAACATGGACACCAGTGTATGACCAGTGTATGAGCAGTGTATGAGCAGTGTATGAGCAGTGTATGAGCAGTATATGACCAGTGTATGACCAGTGTATGACCAGTGTATGACCAGTGTATGACCAGTGTATGACCAGTGTATGACCAGTGTATGACCAGTGTATGACCAGTGTATGAGCAGTGTATGAGCAGTATATGAGCAGTATATGAGCAGTATATGACCAGTGTATGACCAGTGTATGACCAGTGTATGACCAGTGTATGACCAGTGTATGACCAGTGTATGAGCAGTGTATGACCAGTGTATGACCAGTGTATGAGCAGTGTATGAGCAGTGTATGAGCAGTATATGAGCAGTGTATGACCAGTGTATGACCAGTGTATGACCAGTGTATGAGCAGTGTATGACCAGTGTATGAGCAGTGTATGAGCAGTGTATGAGCAGTATATGAGCAGTATATGACCAGTGTATGACCAGTGTATGACCAGTATATGAGCAGTGTATGACCAGTATATGAGCAGTATATGAGCAGTATATGAGCAGTATAAGAGCAGTATATGAGCAGTATATGAGCAGTATATGAGCAGTATATGAGCAGTATATGACCAGTATATGACCAGTATATGACCAGTATATGACCAGTATATGACCAGTATATGACCAGTATATGAGCAGTGTACTGACCCCATATCTGCTGGCCAGGACTTGGTGCACGGTTGCATCCACTGCTCCCAGCTTCACTCTGCCCTTGGTCTGATCCTTCACCGAGGACGCAGCAGCTGCCCACTCCGGCTCCAGACTGAACACCAAGAGCATGTCACTTTAGCAACTCCAACTCAAACTCTCCCACCACTCCCCCCATAAGCGCTCTGATCCTCCTCCACCCTATTTCTTGATGCACTGTGATTACAGCCCTAATGTATTAAAATATAACAGGAGACAGGAGAGATGCAGATTGCAGACCCCTGATCTAGACTAAAGAGTGCGGGGGTGCATTACCAGAAGTTCTAAGAGCACGGGGATTTAGTTTTTCATGAGGAACATTAGGCAAAACAAATAAATAAAAAATACCATTTGCATAATACATTTCTTGTGAGGTAAATGCGCCTTATGATTTTGGGCCGTACCTTTTGCAGTGTCCACACCATGGGGCGAAGAACTCCACCATCCACACGTCGTCGCCGCCCAGCACCAGTTTATCAAAGTTATCATCTGTAAGCTCCACCACGTCCTGCGCACTGCCACCTCCACCTCCACCTCCGCTCTGAAACAAAACAAAATCCAAGCTGACCCCCGCGACAGGCCACACGTCTCCACACGTCTCCACACCAGCGGCCATACCTGCTTGTAGCTGGAGCCGCCCGTCTTCCCGCTCAGTCTGTCTTTGACCAGAGCCTTGAGAGCGTTCAGGGCCCCGTCCACGATGGCCTGGCTCGTGCGACCACCTGCACAGATTAAACCCAACTATTAATAGGCGTGCGATTAAAAATGTAACCCTTACGTTTGACAATTAACTGAAAAACCACAACTAAGTACCAGACAACTGTGAAAAGTAGCTTAACATATAGATCACCCTGTGTTTGTGTTGGTGAGAGCATGTTCTGCTTCCATTACAGATGGGTTCAGATGGGTTAGGGGCAAACGTGGTGAAGAACACGGACCAGTGGAGTTTGATTTTCTGATCTGTGTAAAGTCCTCAGGAGACTACTGCTGTTGTGATTACGGGCTATACAAAGACACATTTGATTAGAGCTATGGCCTTCTCACCCTGGTAATCGTCAGGCTTGTTCTTGTTGGCTCCAAAGACCTTGATGGTGGGGAAGCCTCGGACGTCATACTGTCCTCCCAGAGACTTGTGCTGATCGGCGTCCACTGCTCCCACCTTCACCACGCCCTGTTCACAAACACATCACCCTGTAAGTACTTTTATGTAAACATAACCCATAACACACACACACACACACCATCACTTTCAGTTTTAAATGGAAAGTGGCGCCTACAAACTGCAGCTCGGCTCAACACGAATCAGTAAAGTTTTCACACGTTTAGTTGAGGAGGAGAGAGGATGGATATAAGACAGAACAAGTACTGGATATGCACAAGTTAAACAAAGTAACACTTTGCAAAGATACAGCAAATGTATCAAGAGTTATGATACTTAAAAAAAAACAGACCAAAGTACAAAAGAGGATAATCATACCACTGTATATGTGAAACTTTCAAATTGCAATGTTATAAATAAGTCTTGAGGCTCAGACGTGATGACAATGTGTTTATAGACGTATGAAGCAGATAACAAAGGTGCTGCTGCTGACGATAAGAGGAGAGGGAACACTGAAATGGCCAAAGTTCCTATAATTCAAGCTGGGAAACCAAACCCTTTTCTTTCATAAATATTATGTTTATCCCAACAGAAAGAGGCTAACGTAAAATGCTCTTGCTGTAGTCATCTCATAAGAAAACAGTATTTGACGCACAGAGCTGAGCGAGGGTGGTCCCGTTTTTTACTTATATGGTTTTCTATTTTCAGACATAAATGAGTCAAGAATGTACTAGACTTTTATTACATAGTTTTCTTTTCTTTTTATTGATGAAAGATAAAGATATTCCAGATTTAAGTTGCAGCAAATGACAGTGATAATAATACGTGCTTGTTTTTATTTTTGTTCTTTGGCAGAAAACAAAGCAAAAATAAATTTTTAATAATAAAAAGGTAGCAGATAAGGAAAGTACTGTCTTTTTGAACTTTGTTTTAAACCCAGAATTGTTTTGTTGTATGAATGAATGTATGTATGAATGAATGAATGAATAAATGAATGAATGAATTTACACTTTTTTTTTTTCTTTCTTTGAACTGTATCCATTGTCAATACAGAAATAAAAAATAAAAAAATCCCGCCACAGCCCCAAGATGTGATCTTGTCATGTCTGGAGGCAAAGCATGTTATCTGTCAGAATGTAAACAGAGTACCGGTTTACCTTGAGGGCAGTGGCGGCCTTCTTCCACTCCGGGACCAGGCTCTTACAGTGACCACACCTGTGACCACACACGCACACACACACTCAGTATGAAAATTAACAGGATGTTGGTCATCACCATTACAAAATTAATTACATCCAAACACGTGGGTCATTAATAAAACAATCTTGAACAGAACACTTTCTTGATGCTTTGGCTTTCACACTCTGCCGATGTCAGATAGTGACACACATTTTAATCCAGAGAGATAAGACAGAATTTATCCTTGAATTAAAGAATTTGTGTATTTTGACTTGAAATGTCAATTTGACAACCTATCAGTGTTTTTAGCCTTGGATTTAGTTTTCTCCTTCGAATGGAGAAAAGACTCATCTTTGTCATACTTTAGATAAAGAAAAGATTTTCATGTAACATCCAGTAATATAGTTTAGAAATGCTCATCCTGTCTTATATAGAACAAATCCGCCAAATCTTGTAATATCGTTTAGACCTCTACAACCTAATGAAGAGTGTGGGAATCTGGTCACTTCATGCCAAATATTTTTCAAATGTGACTTTCTATAAAAAAGGTGTTGAAACTCAGAGCTTTTGATCCTAAAAGTATGAAGGGCCATCGCTGTCAGACTTCAAAGTGTGTTTCAGTGAGCACCTCTTTGTTGAGACAATCTCACCTCACAGATGACAACATGAATACTGTACAGGTGTTTTAAGCTTTTCGCAATAAATAATATTGGATCAATATATGGATCAAGGGCTGCACTGCGTAAGGAAAATTGTGTTCACACCAGATACTGACTGTTCTGACCTACAAGTAAACAACAACTTTGACTCATCTGAAGTCTGTAGAAAACCATTGTAAGTAGTAGTAAGTAATCTTTATTTATATACCGCCTTTTCACTGCAGATCTGAGTCTCAAAGCGGTTTACAATTGTTAATTATGGGCATTTGTCTCTCACTCCACACAGAGATGGGAGCGGGGTCACCAGTACAGGAGGCGCATGCCAGAACTATTGGACATATTTTTAGTGGTAGGGGAAACCGGAGTACCCGGAGGAAACCTACGCAGACACGGGGAGAACATGCAAACTCCACTCAGAAAGGCCCTGGTCCGACCGGGATTCGAACCCAGGACCTTCTTGCTGAGAGGCGAGAGTGCTATCCACTCAGCCACCGTGCCGCCCTGTTTACACATTGAAATGTGTAAACAGCCTCAACTTACAGCCTCAAACTACATTGTGCCATTGAATGGAGCATAGTTGCAGTAATTACATACAGTAAATCTCCAGCAAGACAACAAGACAGTGGAAACTCACCATGGGGCGTAGAACTCCACCAGCCACAGGCCGTCGCTCTGCAGCACCTCTCTGTTGAAGTTAGATGGAGTCAGTTCGACCACATCATCACTGGAGGAATACAGGGCCTGAGCTGAGAGGACCAGAGAGCAGCCCAGCAGTCCTAAACACACACACAGAAACACAATACTTCGCTTGAATTCTGGTCTGTTCCTCCAAGGTCAGGTCTCTAGGGCTCTCATGCTCACACACATTAGAGATCTGTTCTATGGTAATGCAAATGGTCACTCAAAAAACTGAATAAAAGAAAACTACTTTGGTGTCTGGCTCAAGCTGATACAAGTCAACGCATAGATCCTATAGGAGTTAGAATGTATTTTTGAAGTCTTTTACTCAGATGCAAGTTATTCTGTAGTAGCTTGCAGAACTACCAGCACTTGAAAACACCATTGGACCCATTTTGTGATAATATTTTTCTCTCCTCAAATAACTGCAAACCTGTATTCATTCCCCTCACAGTTGTTGGTTCATATCATGTTGGCATCAGCAGATATTGAAGGCCAAAGTATCAAAATCGGTATCAGACTTGAAAAAGCTGTATAAGTGAAACAGTATGAATAGTTTGATAACAAGAATGTCTACTAAATTAATAGTCGACTGCAAGATGAGACTGATACAAATCTAAACTTTGCAACACTGCTCAGAAATGTTGGATCAATGTTGCTTACTTTTGTGAATATATTCAGCACTACTTGGTCAAATGAATATGCTGATCCAGCGTTAATGCCATTGTATCTAACCTATTCATGAGATTTTTGGTTGTTGCTTGCCAATTCAATATGTAAACCCCCCATTCAAACGCGACATGGAAATACAATTACTTTAAATGAGCCGAAAGCAAAACGGTGTAAATTTAACCCATATTTTGAGACTTGTTTGGCTCTAATGCAGATATTAGGGCTAGCAATCTCATTCCAACAAAGGGCCTTGTCAATGATGCCTCTACCGTCATGTTAACGAGCAAGACCACGCAGAACAACACAGATCTAAGAAAACCATACTCAGCCACTTTGTGCGCAGAACACTTACCGACTATAAAGAGCTGCATGTTGCTTGCAGAAGCTGATCTTCTGTGTATGCTCCAAACTGCACTATCCGCGTCACCGCCTCTCCCTGATATGTAGCGTCAGGAAAGACTCACCGTGGCCCGCGCTCATTGGTCATCACTAAGCAACGTGGACTTTCGGCCAATCACAGCGCGCCATGTAGTTTTGTGGAACCGCAGACAGGAAGAAACGTATAACAAATATATTTTTAGGTGGAAAGATTAATGTTTGTGACAAAGTAACAAAAGTGACCATGTTTATGCTGGATGGGTTTTTTCATTGAATGTGCCTTGAAAGTATATGATAATTACACACCATTATAAAAGACTGTTTCACTTTTCATTTTTTTTTGTCTTTGTTTTTAAAAGATAACAACAAAAAGACGCACGATTTAAAAAAAAAAATAGGTACAAACTAGAAACTTGCAATGGCTGAAGCCATTGCGATTGACTGCGGAACAGATCTAATGTGGAAATCTGCTAAAAAAAATCCTTGAAATCCTTTAAAAGGCCTTGAAACTGTTAAAATACTTGATAGATATTTGAAACTCCTGAAGTCCTTGAAATTGTTGAAACCTTTAAACTCCTGAAATCCTTGAAACTGTTGAAACATTGAAACTCCTGAAATCCTTGAAACTTTTTTAAACCTGGAAACTGTTGAAAGTGTGGAAACTCCTGAAATCCTTGAACCTCCTGATATCCTTGAAACTGGTTAAATTCTTAAACAGTTGAAATCCTTGAAACTACTGAATGTATTGAAAGTGTCCTTGAAACTGAAAAATCCCCTCACCGCTGAAACAATTTGGTTCCTGTAACTAAGGAAACCTGGTCTGTGGTCATTATCTGGTGGTGGTCTGAGTCTTCGTTTGGGTCTTGGTCTGGTGGTATAATGCAACCTATTAGGTTGCATTATACTGGTTTACATGGAAAAATCCGTAATAGGTTGCATTATACTGGTTTACATGGAAAAATCCCTATTAAGTTGCATTATACTGGTTTACATGGAAAAATCTCTATTAAGTTGCATTATACTGGTTTACATGGAAAAATCCCTATTAGGTTGCATTATACTGGTTTACATGTACAAATCCCTATTAAGTTGCTTTATACTGGTTTACATGTAAAAACCCCTATTAGGTTACATTATAGTGGTTTACATGTAAAAATCCTTATTAAGTTGCATTATACTGGTTTACATGTAAAAACCCCTATTAAGTTCCATTATACTGGTTTACATGTAAAAACCCCTATAAAGTTCCATTATACTGGTTTACATGTAAAAACCCCATTAAGTTGCATTATACTGGTTTACATGGAAAAATCCCTATTAAGTTGCATTATACTGGTTTACATGGAAAAATCCCTATTAAGTTGCATAATACTGGTTTACATGGAAAAATCCCCATTAAGTTGCATTATACTGGTTTACATGGAAAAATCCCCATTAAGTTGCATTATACTGGTTTACATGGAAAAATCCCTATTAAGTTGCATTGTACTGGTTTACATGGAAAAAACCCTATTAAGTTGCATTATACTGGTTTACATGGAAAAAACCCTATTAAGTTGCATTATACTGGTTTACATGTAAAAACCCCTATTAAGTTGCATTATACTGGTTTACATGGAAAAATCCCCATTAAGTTGCATTATACTGGTTTACATGGAAAAATCCCTATTAAGTTGCATTATACTGGTTTACATGGAAAAATCCCTATTAAGTTGCATAATACTGGTTTACATGGAAAAATCCCCATTAAGTTGCATTATACTGGTTTACATGGAAAAATCCCCATTAAGTTGCATTATACTGGTTTACATGGAAAAATCCCTATTAAGTTGCATTGTACTGGTTTACATGGAAAAAACCCTATTAAGTTGCATTATACTGGTTTACATGGAAAAAACCCTATTAAGTTGCATTATACTGGTTTACATGTAAAAACCCCTATTAAGTTGCATTATACTGGTTTACATGGAAAAATCCCCATTAAGTTGCATTATACTGGTTTACATGGAAAAATCCCTATTAAGTTGCATTATACTGGTTTACATGGAAAAATCCCTATTAAGTTGCATAATACTGGTTTACATGGAAAAATCCCCATTAAGTTGCATTATACTGGTTTACATGGAAAAATCCCCATTAAGTTGCATTATACTGGTTTACATGGAAAAATCCCTATTAAGTTGCATTGTACTGGTTTACATGGAAAAATCCCTATTAAGTTGCATTATACTGGTTTACATGGAAAAAACCCTATTAATTTGCATTATACTGGTTTACATGTAAAAACCCCTATTAAGTTGCATTATACTGGTTTACATGGAAAAATCCCCATTAAGTTGCATTATACTGGTTTACATGAAAAAAACCCTATTAAGTTGCATTATACTGGTTTACATGAAAAAACCCTATTAAGTTGCATTATACTGGTTTACATGGAAAAATCCCTATTAAGTTGCATTATACTGGTTTACATGGAAAAATCCCTATTAGGTTGCATAATTACACTGAAGTCCTTGAAACTGCTGAAGTCCTTGAAACTGCTGAAGTCCTTGAAACTGTTGAAGTCCTTGAAACTCTTGAAATCTTGAAACTGCTGAAATCCTTGAAACTGTTGAATCCTTGAAACTGTTGAATCATTGAAACTGTAGAAATGTCTGAAAGAGCTGAAGTCCTATTAAAATGCATGGGCCTATTAAAATGCATTGCAGAATTCTCAATGCAGATTTTTGTCCGATTGCGGAAAAACCGGAAATCGCTGAAGTCCCAAAAGTAATAGCAATAATCTCCCAAACATGTGGAACGTTTTGATGTATAACTTGTGGAAATTGTTGAAAATGTGAAAGCTGTGAAACGTGTCAAAAAAAATGACGGAATAAAGAAATACAAAACCAATGGTTGACTGCGGAAGGTTCCGCAGTCAATCAATGACTGCGGAAGGTTCCGCAGTCAATCAATAATAAACAACTAAGTGCAACTCAGCCAAGGCCTGCCGTTGCACTGCAGAAGTCACAATCCACTCTTTCACCGGGTGGTGATGGAGGCTGGCAGTGGCGGAGCCACATGGGTAGTTGGGGTGGCAACTGACACCCCAGGCAAAGTCCTTGCCACCCCCAGTGTCGCTCCACTGAAAGTATCGCACTTTGAAATTGTTTGAACATTGCCAAAGAAGAGTGTCAAATTTCCAAGCCTCAGCGATCCAAGATGCCAAGTCAAGTCAGTGGCTTGTGCTCAGTGGCGCATGCGGTAGCTGCATGAGCCCCATTCATTTAAGAAGTGCATTCTGAAGCCCACAGAGGCTAAACTGGACTGCTCCAAAAAAAGCTTTGTATTGTTTTATCCTGGTTCTATTGGTACATTTTCACATACAGGCATATTTTGGCCTTTTTCAGACAGGAAACTGGAACAGCAGGTCATCCTCACTAAGCCAATCATCTTTTTGTCCAAAGTGTAGAATGGTGACTCACAGGGCTCTCTGACAAGTATGAAAAGGCAACATACAGTGCCTTGCGAAAGTATTCGGCCCCCTTGAACCTTTCAACATTGCGCCACATTTCAGACTTCAAACATAAAGATATAAAATTTTATTTTTTTGTCATGAATCAACAACAAGTGGGACACTTTTAAAGCTTGGGAAATCTTTTTGTATCCAAATCAGGCTTTAAACTTCTCCACAACAGTATCTCGGACCTGCCTGGTGTGTTCCTTTGTCTTCATGGTTCTCTCTGCGCTTTAAACAGAACCCTGAGACTATCAAAGAGCAGGTGCATTTATACGGAGACTTGATTACACACAGGTGCATTCTATTTATCATCATCAGTCATTTAGGACAACATTGGATCATTCAAAGATCCTCACTGAACTTCTGGACTGAGTTTGCTGCACTGAATGTAAAGGGGCCGAATAATATTGCACGCCCCACTTTTCAGTTTTTTATTTGTTAAAAAAGTTTAAATTATCCAATACATTTTGTTCCACTTCACGATTGTGTCCCACTTGTTGTTGATTCTTGACAAAAAATGTAATTTTTATATCTTTATGTTTGAAGCGTGAAATGTGGCGAAATGTTGAAAGGTTCAAGGGGGCCGAATACTTTCGCAAGGCACTGTATGTTTTATAATACGATAAAGAAAGCATGTTGTGGTCTGGTCTATTCAACATTTGATTTTTACAGGACTTTTAATGGCAAGACAAACACAAACACATGTATGATCTATTAACAACTACCACAATTCCTCATGTAATAATTACTTGGTACAGGATTTTTTTTTTACTCGCAAAAAAATGCATATTAATTCAAATTGATACAAAATAATGACTGTCACGCTGATTGATTATATACATCCTTGTTACACTATTTCTGTTTGAAATTTCATACAATAAGATAAATGATCGCACTCAAAGTCACCATGGAGACACTTTCCTCACTTTCTCATAGTTATTCTCAGCAGCCACTGTGGTCAGACTAAAAGTGCTCTGCGTTCATGCTGAAATCCAAACAGACAACAAAGATGGACGTGTATTACGACAATTTGCGACGCAGGAATGTGTTTTGTGACGGTGTCCTCAAAGTGGAGGATTCACAGTTTCCATGTCACAAAATTTTTCTGTACCACTCCAGCAAATTCTTCAGGTAAGAACTTACACCAACCATACACCAAATGTGATTCATGGAAGAATCACATTTTACATCAAATCTTCTTCCATTCTTTGAAGACATAAAGACAGTTCCACATGTACTACACAAGAACCCATATATACAGGATCACACATGTCAAGGCGGACAGTCGACTAGGACATTTGTGGTCAACTAGAGACATGCCCAGTCGATTGATTGGTCACCTTTAAAGAGAGAATGGCAAAAAGTTATCAAAACTATGTGTTATGTATCGGGTGTAAACTGTAGTCAGAAGATTTTTTAAATAAAAACATGTAGTGATAAACGTGTGAACGGGAAGTTGGACCTGGATTGATGTAATACCAACATTTGCTCAATGGGTTCTGGTTGTTGTAGTTTTCCAATAGTAATCCATATCTTTTTGATTAATTCAATAATAAACTAACAACATTTTTAGTTGAGGGAGAAATCATTGACCAATTAATCAACCGAACAACTAAAGACTGACAACTCAATACTTGATAAAATAATGTGAATGTTTGTGTTTATTGTTTCTTTACAGCCATGTTAGAATGAAAAATTCTTCAGACTGAACGAAATCTCTCCAATGACCATGGCTCTGATTCTGGACTGGATATACACTCAATCCACACAATCTTTGAGCAGAAACAACGTCCAGGAACTCCTAAAGGCCGCAAACAAGCTGATGCTGGAACAACTGGTCCAAATCTGCTGTAAGTTCTTGGAGGACCACCTGCTCCCAGGTGCCACATCAGCATGTGGCACCAGTCTGATGTCATAGTCTCTGAATCGATTAAGGAGTTTGCTCGGAAGTTCATCCTGAGCCACTTTGAAGAGGTGGCGGCTTGCTGAAGCCGACGGTGCAGGAACTTATGGGCTTCATTGATGACAATACACTCGATGTCAAGCGTGAGACCGCAGAGTTCGAAGCCATTGAGCGCTGGACCAACCACGACCCCCAAAACCGCAAAAACCACTTTTCTCGTCTGCTGGAGAAGGTGAGTCAATAAGTGACTTAATCTGAGTTTGAAACCTAGTTGTGACATTATTCACTATATACTACGTTAAAGTCTGCAACTCTAAATGAATTACAAATTTTAAGAAACGTGTTAAATTGAACTCCTGGCCTTAAATGTTAATATAAAATAAGTCGAAAATGGCTCCAGAGATCCTCTACAGATGTGTCCTATAATGTGCAATTCATGATAATAGCTTGTTCCGGGTTTGCCGCGATCGCTTTTTTTGTGCATAAAAACATTATATTTTTCATTAAAACGTTAACAAATAATTCTGAAAACCTCCGTGCATGTGTATTAATAATGTATATGTATAATGTGATCTCCCAATAACATTTAAATGTGTTACGGAAACGTAGGCGTAGACCAATCACAAAGGAAGGGGGAGGAGCTTGCGTCGTTTTTTTCAAATCAAGCACCTCTCTCTCTCTCTTTCTGACAAACTCCAGACAATCACTTTAAACAGAGTATGCAAGACTTGTGGAACTATTTGCAGAAGTGCCATAATCAAAGTGGATCTGTGCATTTGTTTTGAAGAAGATTTCCAGATCCCAACAAAACTTCAGTTCAATGGATCAACAAAAAAAGACACCAGATTTAAAATTTGTGCGAGCGGGTGGTGGTTGATTCAGGACTGAGACACTCTGACGTAAGTTGTACTTGTGTGTGTTTTAGGTCTGTTTCTCTGAAATCTCAAACGAGTATGTGAAAATCAATGTCTTGAAAAACTCTCTGGTCGGCCACATTGACTTCAGAAAATTTGTCTTGAGTGGCCTCAACACCTCGTCTTGGCTTCCAGGAACCATCCTGCTGGCGATCGGCGGCTGGAGCGGCGGCAATCCCACCAACGTCATCGAGGGGTTTGACTGGAAGGCTAATCACTGGGTCAACGTGACCAACCATCAGGAGGGCCCTCGTGCTTACCACGGCGCTGTGTTCCTCGACGGCTCGGTGTACTGTGTGGGAGGTTTTAACCGTTTGGAGCAGTTCAACAGCATTACGACTGAACACGGCTGAAGTCTTTAACCTCAGACCAATCAGTGGTCTCTGATCACACAAATGAACCAGCAGAGGAGTGACGCCATCTGTGCCACACTTAATGACAAGGTTAGAGAAGAGAAAACATGCATTTTATCATAAGTAAATGTGTAATGTTGACGACACAAACATCTTTTGTGTTTTGCAGATCTACATTTGTGGCGGATTTAATGGTGCTGTGTTCTTAGAAACAGCTGAATGCTATTGCGCAAACACCAACCAGTGGACTTACATCGCCCCTTTGACCAGCAGGTGCAGCGGCGTCTCGGTCATTGCCTACTCCAACCACATCTATGCAGTAAGCCTCATTCTCATCCTCACCTTTATGTGTCACATTACAACATACACAGTAACTCCTTTGTGGTTCAAACATCTTCTTGTTTTGGAAAATTTTTGTCTTGATAAAAGCTCTCTTTCTACAGATTGTATTCTAATAATTCCCTTCTGACTCCCTTCTCTGCTGCAGGTCGGAGGCTTTGATGGTGTTGAGTGCCTCAGAAGTGTGGAGGCCTACAACCCGCAGACAAACTAATGGCATGAGCTGGCTCCCATGATCACCACGCGCAGTAACTTTGGCTTAGAAGTCCTGAACGACCACTTTTTTGCTGTGGGAGGGTACAACGGCGTCAACACCACATGGAGCGTGGAGACGTATGACCCCCTGATGGACCGCTGGAGCGAGGCCCAAGCCACCAGCCTGTTCCGCAGCGCACTCAGCTGCTGCGTCATCTCTGGTATTCCCAATATGGCCGACTACACAGTGGCTCGCGACATGATCCCTCTGCTCGATGTGGACGCTGACAAAAACGATATTGTTTTGTGCTCGTAATAATATGAAAAGTGGAAAGATTGTTTTCCGCAAAAATGAAATTGACAATGTTTATGGTGGATGTTTTTTTTGCTTTGAATGTGCCTTGAAATATATGATAATTACACACCATTATAAAAGTTTCACTTTTCATTTATTTTTTCTTTGTTTTTAAAAAATCAACAAAAAGACGCACGATTTAAAAAAAAAAGAAGTAAATAATAAACGACTAATTGCAACTCAGCCAAGGCCTGCCGTTGCACTGCAGAAGTCACAATCCACTCCCTCACCGGGTGATGGAGGCTGGCAGTGGCGGAGCCACATGGGTAGTTGGGGTGGCAACTGACACCCCAGGCAAAGTCCTTGCCACCTCCAGTGTCACTCCACTGAAAGTATCACACTTATTAATTTTTTTTAACATTGCCAAAGAAAAGTGTCAAATTTCCAAGCCTCAGCGATCCAAGATGCCAAGTCATTGGCTTGTGCTCAGTGGCGCATGCTTTCGCTGCATGAGCCCCATTCATAGGTGCATTCTGAAGTCCACAGAGGTTAAACTAGACTGGTCCAAAAAATCTGTTGGACCATCCTGTAAAGCTGTTTTCAAGAAGTACATAAGGAGACGCCATACAAAAACCTTTGGTAATTATTTTTCTGGGCACACCCCCACCGGCCCGGAGTGAGATTGAAAGCATGTCAGCGGACATGCTCATGGACCCGCCCCCATTGGTACGTAAGCCTTCGTCTTTGACTTGTTATTAAGTTAAGCAAATAATTAGAATAATGTGAGTGTAAAGGTCAGTCTCTGCATACGATTTAATGTAATTAACTTGTGAAACTGACTGCAATCCAGTTCAAGTAACTTTATATGTCTTATCGACTGATACAGGTCTGATCAGCTGAGTGTAGCACTCTCGCTTCTCAGCTAGAAGATCCTGGGTTAAAATTCCGGTTGGAACAGTAACAATAATGAAATACTTGTCAACAAACTTCCTCGTCTTCTACATAATTGCATTGTTAGTTTAACCATACAAATGATGTGTATTACGTGAGAAATTGAGAGTGCAGTTTGTATTTGCCCACCAGAGGGAAAGAAAGCCCAACAAATCCGCATTCAGGCCCGTCCTAAGGGCTGTGCGACCTGTGCCGTCGCACAGGGCCTCGCACCACACAGGGGCCTCGCAATCTTCCTTCCTTTTATTTTATTTTATAAATACACTAGTTCAAGGGTCCCCAAAGGGCAGACTGCACTCCAAATTTGGAACCCTAAACCCCTTTCTCTGGACCTCTTTGATTTCGTTTGATCAAAAGAACATTTTTACAAGTAAAGTCAAATTTTCACCAAAAGCGATTTGTAAACAGGCAGGCGCGCGGGCAGCTATGTATGCAACGGGTCCTCCGAAAAAACTGTCAGATAACTTTAGCAGTGTCTGAGTGAGATACAAAGAAAGTAACGGGAATGATCGCAGTGTAGGAGAGATGGATACTCGCGGAGGAGGAGCAGAGAGACAGGTGTGAGCAGAGGAGCAGACCCCTTTGTGTGAGCAGAGGAGGAGGAGGAGGATCAGCGGTGTGACAGGTGTGTGAGCGCTGCTATTGCCAATGTTTAGTCCGAATATCCACATCAAAAACATATTTTTAAAAGCATTAGCAAACACACTGTATGTCTAGCTTTAGCTAGCTGGAGTGTTTTTGTTGTGGTCAGAGTGTGTGGAGGAGGAGGTGAAGAGTATTTTGTTGTTGTCAGTGTGGAGGAGGAGGAGCGTATGTTGTCAGAGTGTGTGGAGGCATGGCAAAAACGTTATTTGATGAGAAAAAAATAATATTGACTCCGCCTCATAGCCATTTTGGCGCATTTTGCCAAAATCTAACTATTAGAAGAAAAAGACTCCTTTTGGTTCAATCTTTTGAGTTGCTCTACCATTTTGCCACAGGACGAAAGAGACATGTCAGCTAAAAAGACCGCGACCAATATTGCACGTAGAGTGTGTGTGCGTGTGTACGTGCGCGCGCCAAACGCTGCATAGGAGCGAAGACACTCGGTTACACGCGTGCTGATCTCGTCAAGCACCGCGCGAGGTGGTGCTGAATTCATGTCAAAGATTATAACAGGAAAAACTTTCCTCAGATCTGGGAAAAAAGTGTCAGGGCAGGGCCTCGCGTTTCGAGTTCGCACAGGGCCTCGCACCCCCCTTGGGACGGGCCTGTCCGCATTCACTAAGCTATTCTTTGTATTTAACATTTGGTGAAAGTTATGGCAGTAAAATAAATCATTTAGTTCTAATTTGAACCAGCCATTTAGTTTAGTTTAGTATTTATTTGAAGGGAAAGTGAATAGACAGATATGTTCTGCTTGTTTTCATATTTCTATTATAATCAGAATCAGAATCCTTTTTTTGCCATGTAAGTAACAGGAAGTCACAGACTAGGAGATTGCTTTGGCTCTCAGGGCAACACAAAGAAGAGAGGTAAAGAATAGAGCAAGGCAAAATAAAAATCAGCACTTCTAAGCTGTAAAAAATAAAATAAAATAATTACATTTACAATTACTATGTACAATATTCAAGTGCACATGGTGCACACACTATGCATCACTTTACTGTCACTTTACTCCCACTACTGTCACTTGACCAACGCTGTGAAGGTCATGTTCTTGTGTTTTTAACTGTGTTTTCAACACAGACTGCCATTGTGCTGCTGGGGAAGAGGGAGGACGAGGGTTTGGACGAACACCTCACTATGGACCATCGACTTCTTCATGGACCGACCACAGTACGTGCAACTGCGCTGCTGTTTGTTTAAGGTGGTAGTCTGCAGCCCCGGGGACCCTCACGGCACCGTCCTCTCACCGTTTATTTTCACAATTTGACCGGCTGAGTGGATAGCACTCTCGGTTCTCAGCAAGACGGTCCTGGTTTCCAATCCCGGTCGGAAAAGGGCCTTTCTGAGTGGAGTTTACATGTTCTTCCTGTGTCTGCATAGGTTTCCTACCACTAAAAAACATGCGTACAATAGTTATGAAAGTAATGCGTGACTGAATGGAGGGTGTTGGGTCGGGGCTTTGATGCACCAGTGTGTTTGGAGGTTCGCCTCAGTCTTCACTGTGTGTGAATGGAAAGATTTATCTGATTTCTGAACATTGTAACCCGCTTTTGGTGACCTTGGTCTGTGAAATGTGCTATATAAATGAACATTACCTGCACAATTAACATTTCAGACTTCATACACAACACATAGCTGTCATCTGCAGTTGAGCTGTGTGGAACAAACAGGAGAACCGATTGGTTATCATTGACTTGGCAGACTGGTGTGCGCACAACCACCTGTGCTTGGACCATATAGACTGTAAATATTAATGGACGTAGTTACGCCTATCTCCGCCGTTGAAACGTATGTGTGATCACTTTACCCATCTACCGACCTTTTCAAAATGGCCGTTCATGTAACGTGTTCAAGTCCACAGCAGCTAAACTAGGCTGGTCCAAAAAAATACTCCCCTCAGCATTGACACACATCTGGAGGAGACGACTTTTTGACCAGACTGTAAAGTTGCTCTCGTGCGAGCAGCCAGTGACATAAACGAGCAGGTATTAAAAATGATCAATTATAATGATTACTCCTGGCCCTGTAAAGTGCAATGACTGAAGACACCTCCTCCTTAACCGGATTTTCAACGCATGTCTAAAAAAACCTGTTTTACTGTTGAAACAGGTCAACTTGGCATTAGAATACTGGTCCAAAACACTGGTGTCTAGTGTGAGACTCCCTTTGCATTTGCTTTCTGTTGCTGTGTGTAAGTAGTAAGTAATCTTTATTTATATACCCCCTTTCACAGACCAGAGTCACAAAGCGGTTTACAATTGTTATTTTTGTCCTCTCACTCCACACAGAGATGGGAGCGGGGTCGCCGAACAGGAGGCGCATACCACTTGTACATATTTTTAGTGGTAGGGGAAACCGGAGTACCCGGAGGAAACCTACGCAGACACAGGGAGAACATACAAACTCCACTCAGAAAAGCCCTGGTCCGACCGGGATTCAAACCCAAACCCTTCTTGCTGAGAGGCGAGAGTGCTATCCACCTAGCCACCGTGCCGCCCTGTGGATGCAAGTCCTGGTCCTGTTTGCATGCAAGGGGGAGAGATGGGAGCATATAGTTATGTACCAAGTATAACCAGTAAGTACCAAGTAAAGAAGAGATGGCAAAATAGGAGCAAAATAATAATAGGGTGACTTTTGAGTCCCAGAGGTTTAACGCAAAGATTAAAAGTTACCAATAAAATAAATTTCAACCAAGAAGCAGAAAGAAAAATGTGTATTTGTATAGAACACAAGAAAATATATGAAAAAAAATATATTCAATAATATTCACATTTTTATGGGTTGCTGAGTATCAGATGGCAGACAAAAATGCATGTCCGCAGTGACCAAAGTTACTTTTTCATCTAATCTAAAACATATATACATTTCCATTAACCCCATTTTTCTGCTAATATAATTATTTACTTGTCTGCTCTAACTAAAATAAAATAAAACTGAAAAGAATGCATGTTTTTTTTTTTAAAATGGTACTTTGTAGTCATGTCCCCCAAGTTTATTCAACCCATAGACTGTATCAACCCCGTAACGGCGTAGCATTTTCCACCCTTTTTGAAAATAAACAGATCAGTCCAACCCACTCAACCTTTAGAAAGTTACTCAAGTCTTTTCAAGGTCATGCTGTGAAGAGAGGTAATTATCAGCATACATTTTTACTTCATTTTAGTTTTTGTCAGATTGACATTGTCATGCTCAACCTTTCAACTCTGTGACACAGATAAGCGATAAACAGATATTGTTTAGGAAGAATCAAACAACTGTGTGGAAGAGTATATCAATTTCATGATTTCCAAATGCCGTGTGTTCGTGTTTGCTAACATGTTAGTTCTGGCTACTCTTAGCTAGAATATTCAACCCCGTGACAAAAAGCATTGCAAATTCCTTGTAATATTTAGTGCAATAATATGATGCAATAATTTTTGGTCATTTTTCAAAATTCAGAGAACCCAAAAGGCACCCGTTACAGAGAATCACCCAATAGATATGCGCATGTTACATGCGGACAAAGGGGCCACAGCGGAAACTCCTGTTCAGAATAAAAGCACGAGACAAACTAGAGATAAAGACAGGAGCTGGTGTTAAGGCTGCTCGTAAACACTCAACACCACTCCAGAAGAAATGGGCTTCGGTTATAGAACTAAACGTTGTAATTCATTGTATTTGTAAACAACTGCGCGAAAAGTTCTCCGGAAGTGCTTCTGGTGACTACGTGGGACTTGACCACAGCGCACTTGTTGAGCAGAGCGCACAGAAGAGCAGTGTGCAGTTCTCACAGCAGCAGTCAGCGGTGAACAGTGCGCGTATTTGGACACAGGACTTGGTGCGCTTTTACGCACGGCCGATGGAGACAGGTGCTCGGGCAGTGTGAAGTGCGTGCGTCATGTGGGGGATGCAGAGGGCCCGGTACGCGGACTGTAGCGGCTCAGAGGGCAGTGAGGACCGGGAGCTGATGCTGAACATCGGCGGGGTGAGACAGGTGCTGCACGCTCACATGCTGAACCGCTTCCCGGAGACGCGCCTCGGGGAACTACTCCACACGTCCCTCCAGGCTCCAGAGGACGTGCTCGCGCTGTGTGATGACTACGACCCGGACACCAGAGAGTTCTACTTTGACCGCGACCCGCAGGCGTTCCGCAGCATCCTGGAGCTGTACGTGTACGGGGAAGTGCACATGAAGCGCGGCGTGTGCGCAATGTGCTTCCTCAAGGAGATGGAGTACTGGCGCGTGCCCGCGGACTGTCTGGATGACTGTTGCAAGTGTGCGCTGCGGGAGGTGCAAGAGGAGTTGCAGGAGATCGCGGAGAAAGTACGGACCCTGTTGGTGGACCGAGATGGGGGTCCGCACACCGGGGGCTGGCAGCGCGTGCAGGCGTCTGTGTGGCGGCTCATGGAGAAGCCCGAGTCCTCCATGGCCGCGCACATAGTGGCCATAGTGTCATTTGTGTTCATCCTGCTATCGTCCGTGGTCATGTGCGTGGGAACCATCCCGGAGCTGCAGGTGGAGGACGCGGAGGGTGTGCGCTCGGAGCACCCCACTCTGGAGATGATGGAGAGCGCGTGCATCGGCTGGTTTACGCTGGAATATGTGCTGCGCCTGTTCTCCTGTCCGCACAAACTCAAGTTTGCACTGGCCTTCATGAACATCATAGACTTCATGGCCATCATGCCTTTCTACGTTGTGCTCGTACTCACGCGCTTAGGCGCAGGCGTCATAGAGCTGGCCAACGTGCAGCAGGCGGTGCAGGCGCTACGTATCATGCGCATCGCGCGCATTTTTAAATTGGCAAGACACTCGTCCGGCCTGCAGACCCTGACTTCCGCTCTGAAGAGCAGCTTTAAGGAGCTGGGGCTGCTGCTCATGTACATGGGTGTGGGAGTGTTCTTGTTCTCTGCGCTGGGGTATACTATGGAACAGAACCACCCTGATACGCTCTTCACCAGCATCCCTCAGTCCTTCTGGTGGGCCGTCATCACCATGACCACAGTGGGCTATGGGGACGTGTACCCGAAGACCACCCTGGGTAGGTGTAATGCTGCCATCAGCTTCCTGTGCGGGGTGATTGCCATTGCACTGCCCATCCATCCCATTATCAACAATTTTGTCCTGTTCTACAACAAGCAGCAGGTGCTGGAGACGGCCGCAAAGCACGAGATCGAGCTCATGGCGCTGCGCTCGTGCCAGGCGCAGCTCCTCGGGCATGCACACGGAGACGCTGCAAGTATCTCCTTGCACACATGTCATACTGACACGTTCCTCCCACTAGTGCACGAGCCCCAGGGGCCAGGGGTCAGGGGTGCGAGCGCAGACACAAGCTTCAAGAGCAGCACAGAGGCTTCGGACTACTACAGCTCATGAGCAACGCACTTTTACCGGCGTACCATAACACTGCTGTGAGCTAGCGCTGTAAAGCTGGACTACTGCAGCCCATGAGCAGTGCAGCTTTGTACCACCTATAATACTGCTGATGGCTATCCCACATGAAGCAGGACTTAAGCTACAACATATTTTGGAATAAAAAGAGTCTGGACATGTGTGTTTGGTCACAGAGAAGGAGCCGAACAGACATAACATCCAATGTACAGATTTAAAATGATAATTGTGACACTGTCCCAGATACGACTGCAGTAAGAGTACTGTTACACTGTCAGACTGTATGATGAGTACTGTTACTCGGTCACAGATACGACTGCAGTAAGTACTGTGACACTGTCAGACTGTAGTACGAGTACTTTTACACTGTCAAATATCAAGTATGTGAACCGTCAATATATGACCCTCTGTTTCACTATATTAACAACCTCTGGTCACACATGATTTCTTTATTTTTTTGAAAAATACCCCACAAGTGAAGTGAAATAAATACTTTTATAAACTCAAGCAAGTTTATGTATGTACCTTTCTGCTCCTTTCATTACTCAAAGATGGGGAAAAAGATAATTACAACATGCTCATAAAGGTTTACACTTTCTACACCATAAGAAAATCATTTTCTTGGATAGAATATAAACATATCTTTTTACATGTGTGAAAAAGTGGTTATCAATTGACAAGTGGAAATAAACTTGTATCTGACTTACACAATTGCACTATTCCACTTGCGCTTGTATTTACCGTAGTGACCAGGGACAAACAGGGCGTAAATAGCATAAGCAGAAGTGGCCACAGCTCCCAGAGGAACCATCATGCACCAGGCTTAATTTCTCCTTTAAAGACACATGCTTGGATAACCAGACCTTGATGACATTGTCACAAAATACTATCTTGTTACACTATACAGCATCAGAACAGATATACCACAATTAACAAATTAAAGCTGCGCACAACAAGACTGTATTCTACTTAAGGAGTTGCACTTCCTATGGCGTAACTAACTTACATCGCTTTGTTTTATTACAGAAATTAGGTATCAGGTGTCAAGGCACTAAAGTCCAGTTGTTAAGAAGCTGCAATGATTTAATGTATCCATCCGATTTCATTGTTTCCGACCAGAACCTAGACCAAATAAAACACCCTCAGTGTTGACACACATCTGGAACGTAGCGTTGGACCAAGAACGACTTTTTCCACCATCCTTAAAGCCATTTTCCAGAGGAAAGAAGACGGCATACAAAAGCATTGAGTAATTGCTTCCATTTAAGCTATACATTATAGCTTAAATGATAATGATTATTGACAATGAAATTCTCATTTCCCCAATGATCTTTTTTTTTCTGTAAAAGATTGTTGGAGGACTTTTAAGCTCCACTTATGTAGACAATGTGCAGTGAGCTGAGCCCTGTGGGTGAAGCTCTCTTAAAAATAGTTTTTAAGATACAAGGGCCAGGGCCAGGAACTTGTGTCGGCCCACAAGTTGTTGGAGCTCTCCATAGCCTTGGATATGCACCGTGGAGAGAAAATGTTTGCTTTCATCTTTTTTCCAAACGTCTAGTACTGCCAAGAGAACCCTTTGTTTCAGTCTGAGTCAAGAGCAGGGCACTAGGCATGACATGAGGGAGAACAAAGCATCCTCCCAAAATTGAGCAAGCCCTTGAAGCTCCCAGGGCCTGTGGGGAAAATGCAGGTTGGATCTGTCGACACTTCATCTTGTTAAGTAAAGTAAGTCCGATCTCTTTTTTGAAACCTCAGTGTCCCAAAGTCCACAGGTAGATTTCAAATGTGTCCACTTCAGCTCTAAAAGCAAAGGTACATAAGTTTGTCTAATACATTAGAAATTAAATCCACTGTTATTATACAGCCTTTAATCAGGGAGGTGGCGGCTCTAGAGGGGCTGCCAAGGTACAACCTATCTGTCCGTGGCAGTTCTCAATGGCAAATAAAAGGGAAAAAGATCATCTCTAGTTAAACTGGATACAGAGATGTTCAAAATGAAGGCCGCTGGCTCCAAACATGTTCCAAGAGATTGTATTTCTGTCTCATACCAATGTTTACGTTGAGATCACTCGGAACTTTGCGGTTTCATGGAAATCTTAAGATGTTGTTCCAGAACCAAAGACTTTTTAGATGTTATTCAGAAAACCCTTATGTGATGTAGTTTGTTTGCGTGAAAATAACACTTGATTTTTGGTGGAATGCCATATGGAGATCATGAACCGTCCCCTTGCTTCTTGTTTGCATAAATACCTTTTTAAACAGGAGCACACAGTGAAAATTCACAAATACACAGAGAGAACATTGAGTTGAACCCAGGACCAATCTTACCTGATTTACTTGAGTTCAGTAGAGTTGGGAAAAAAACCCTCTGAAAAAATAACTTTTGATTTATGCTATTGCGACATTCACTCAAATAAAAGACTGGATACATTTCGAATTGCGTCTGAACTTTTTATTTCTCTAAATGGTTTCTCTTAAATAGTGTAAAAACAGTGCGTTCAGAATCACCGACAGATACTCAGATCATGGCTCTCTCTGGTCCAGTCCTGGCTCTTATTCCCTGAACAGCGTGTGCACTATCTTCTCCATATATCGGGACGTGGCCTCTTCTTGTCGCTGCCACAGATAACAGGCCCTCTTCAAATACTGGCTGCACTGTCCCGGCCACTATTTCTGGCCACTGTAAATTCTCTCTGCTAATGGAGGCGCTTTCCCAAGGGCAAACAGCCCATTGTAACAAGAGACACTGGACACATGGACATGTCTTTGTATCTGATGGACAGCAGACAAGTGAACACTGAGGAGTGAAAAGTATCAATTCTCAAATAATTAGACCAGCACGTTTAATTTCACTTTTGGATTAAAACAAATATATAGTTGGAAATGAACTATGTAGGAATTGTGTGACATATAGGACATATTTATTTTTTCATATTGAATACATATTCTTTATTGCCACATTGCCTTGTAAAAGCAAAACCATCAGACCACAACATGCTGTCATTGTTTTGTTAGAAAACATTTGATGAATTTGCAAAGTTAGAGCCCTATGAGTCGTTATTCTTGTTGAGATCCTGGATTGTGGGTGAGAGGAGCCGGAGGAGACGCTAACAGCACTGCAGCAAGAGCACGAGCTGTAGTGAAGTAAACGCTGAGAAAGCTGCGCACACACACACACACACACACACACACACACACGCACACACACACACACACACACACACACATGCACACACACACACATGCACACACACACACACTCCTCAAGCACCCCTTCATATGCACGATGTTATAGCCCTAGCATACAGCCAGGGTTTATAATAGTTAAATGTTATTATTGCCATACACTAGTAAGAAAGTAATGTAGCTTAAAGAAGCTATACCCAATTTTTTTTTAATGAGTTGATAAAAATACTTATTACTACATGAAAGTTGTATTACTATTCTGTGATTTCATTGAAAACTTGAGCTCTCCTCAAACTGACCTCTGATATAGATAATAATGCAGATAATTATCGATCTCAATATTGTGGATTTGAGCAAACTACTGACTACTGCTTTCTTAGTCTACGCTTTTGTTTTGTTATGGCTATTCTGAACCTGCATGTCTTATCTCTCTGTTTTTGCAAATCTCAGGCTACTGTCTTCATCTGTCTACTTATGCTTCACTGTTTTGTATTTGCCTTATCTTTTATTTTGTCTGAATTTGCTTTGCGACTCTTCACTCAATCATTCACTTTCTGTATACTTGCTTGTTGCATATTGTTACAGGACATGCACACCAGGTTTGTTTTTGCAGTTTATTTTGGTCAATGTGCACCGTCCATGCGATGACTAAATAATAATCCTTCATATTCTTTCAACCATGTGTGATTAAGCCATTTAGAAAAGTGTCGTTCATAAGTCCTCTTAGAGTAAACAGCTCGCTAAGAGGAAGCAGCGCTGCGCCATGAGCTGATAAAAAAGTCATTTGCAGAAGGTCTTGAGCAGAGCGATAGTGGCGATAGCGATGAGATGACATTTTGCATCTGACTTTCACGTCCCGCCTCCTCAGTGTCCAGTGAATCATCCGCTCTTCCTGCGCTAATCTCAGCTTCTCTTTCAAACTAGTCACTCCTCTGAATGTCCCACATGGAGAACAACTGAGGCATGTGCAGCTCTTCATGACAGAAAACAGAATCTGGATCTGGATCTGAAAATCAACCATTACTGTATTTTCTGCCTGGTCTTACCATACCATCATACTAATTTCATTTCGTACTGAGGTCTGGATTTGCTCCATTGAGCTCTGTTAACAGGTGGGAGGGGTTAACTCTTTTTGCAGATTGAAACGTTTGGATCTGAGGGTGCTTTCACACCTGCACCATTTAGTCCACTTAAAGCGGACTGGAGTCTGGAACACCTGCAAGTACGGTTTGTTTGAGCAGGTGTGAAAGTGGACCAGTTAAATTTGGTCCGGACTAAAGAACTGCACCGAGACCACCATATGGAGCTGGTCTCGGTGCGGTTCCATGTGGACTCCAGTCTGGTTTGCTGCTGGTGAGAACGCAGACCGGCCTCAATATGGCCCTGCTCTGTTGCCGTCCGTTTTGGTGGGTTTGTTAGGTATGGTTTAGTTACGTTGTTTCTTTTTCTGTTTTTTTCGTTTGTTTGTCTACTAAGTCGGCTTTGTGAGCTCAACTTTTGTGGAGTAGTTTAGTTGTGCACCTTAGTTCTTCGTAGAGGGAATTTTGTCGGGGCTTGTGACTCTTCGTCCATTTTCTGTTTGTATAGGTTATTTTTGTCGGTCCCCATGTTGGGTTTTAACGGGGTGCTCTATTTGCTTGAAATTCCTTGGCTACTGTTCTCCGGTATTCTTCTCTTGTGTTTTTGTGTGCACATGCTTTACGTATTTTCTGCTTTTCGGTGGTCCTCGTCTGGTTCGCTCCTTACGATGTTTACCTTTATCTTTGACTTGCATGGTTAGGTCTAATCCTTGTGGTTGGCCCCTATGTTTACGGGTTGTCTGGTTTCTTTGTTTTCTAATTTGATTGTTCCTGTGGTTATATTTGTGTGTTTTTTGTTTTTTACGTTGCTTGTGGTTTTGTTAGTTCGTGTCCGCTTAGTATAGTGCGGTGGAGTTATGTCATTGCGCTCTTCGTTTGCTTAGTCTCCTAGTGGTTCGTTTTACGTTGCTGTGATTTGTTTTGTTTCAGTTTTCTATTGTTTTGGTTGGATCGTTTCTTCCGCTGTGTGAGCTTTGTTGGGTTGCTGCTTTTTTGATTAGGTTCTTACGTGTGTTAGTTCTGTGGCGGGTTTTTATGTTTGCTTGTACTTGGTCTTTGATCTTGTGATTCTTTGGGTGCCGGTGGTTTGGTCTTGCTTTGGTTTGGCTTCGTCGTCGTGTGCTTCTGGACGTTTATTGATTTCCTGTTTCGGTCGTCGGTGTCTCTGTCCTTCTTATGTCTGTTTGCATGTTCTCCTTTCTTTTGTTATTTGTAGTTAGCTTTTCGTTGATGTTTTTTTAGTTTTTGTTGTCCGGCTTTTTTGTGGTTAGTTTGATTTTGTCGGTATTTGGCGATTGCTTCTTTTGTTTATTATTGCTTGTCGGTTTAGGCTTGTCTGAGTTTTCTTGTGGTGTATAGTGGCTGTTTCTTGTTTGTGTGTCTGTTTCTTATTGGCTGTTGTCATGTTCGTTTGTTGCTCTTCGTTCTAGCGCGCGTTTTTGTTGTCTCCTTTCTTGGAGTCTTTGGGCACCTGGCTTGTTTGTCGATGTTTGGTTTAGCTTCTTGTTGCGGAGTTTTGCCTTTGTAGTTGTGCTATAGTGCGTTTTTTTTTTATCCGCTTTCGTTTCGGCGTTTTTCTATCTTGTACGACTTACCGGTTGATGTCCTATTGGGTTTCTGCAAGGAATGTTGTTATTGTGGTTGCGCTACTGTTTCTCTGTGTGGGGCGTCTTTCTGTGTTAATTTTTTTCTTTGTGTGTGATAGTCTCTTAGCAGTTGCTCGTTGCTGCTTGGTTTCGTGTAGATTTGGCGTAGGGTCTTTCTCGTATTTGGTTGTTTCCGGGTTGGATCCCGATCGTCTTATCCTAGGTGCTGTTGGGGTTGGGTTGTTTTTTTTTTTCCGGCGGATGTTGTTTTTTTTAGATTTTGGGTTGTGCTGAGTGTCCTAGGTTTTTTCTGGTTTTTGTCTTGGTTTGGTCGGTTTTTTGTAGTGGGGGCGCGTTCCTATTTCTCGGGCTTTTGTCTTTTTCCCCCTTGGGTTCTGTTTTCGGTTTGTGTTTTTGTGTTTCGCTTTTCCCGTTTATCTGTTACACTTTTTTCCGTGGTTCGTTTTTTGTTTGTTGTTTTCTGCTACTTGCTGGTTATTTTTTCTGGGTCCTTATAATTTCGTTTTTTAGTTCGTTTTTTTGTATGGCCGCCTCGTGCTGTGTTCTTTTTCCTGTGGTCGCTGTCCTAGGTTGTCCGTTCGTTTCGTCTGGTCCAGCGGTTGTTCCTTATCCTGCACGTTATGTTTTTGTAGTCCTTTCCCTTGTCTTGTGCCTTAGCTATTCTTTTACTTTTGTGGCCTGTCCGTTTGGATTTCTTTCTGGTCGTGGTTTGTTGGTTAGGTGTGCTGCTCTAGAGTTGCGATTGGTATTTAGATTTATGTTTTTGTTAGGTTGTTTTGTCTGTTTTTTCTTTGTGCTATTTCTCTGTCTATGGCTTCTCTGTTAGGTTATTTTCGTTATCTTTATCTTCGGGGTGTGTGATTCTGTTTTGTCGCCTCGTTGCGACCACACTTGCCGTGCTGGGCTTCTGGCTTATAGGGCGTTGTCTTATGATTGCTCTTCGATGTTCGTTTTGCTTTGACTTGCGTTGCCATTTGTGTGGTTCGTGTCTGCGTCTGGTTGATGGTTTTGTACTTTAGTGTGGGGTTTTAGTTTTTGGTTGTGTAGCAGTCTCCCGCTCTTACGATTGGATTTTGTGCCGGTTCATTTTCTCAGCTGGTAGGCGTGCGCTTAACTTGGTTGTTGTTTTAAGCGAGGTGTGTTGAGACAAGGTCAATCTGACATGCATCTGGGCTGGGTTTGTGTCTTTGTTGAGGGGTGTGGTTGTTCTAGGTGATGTTGAAGTGGATGAGGGTCGGAGTGGTGATGCTCAGGGTTTCGTAAGAAGTAAAGCTTAGGGTTAGTTTGATTGGGGTGTCCACTTTCCTTTTTTATTTGGCTGGCTAGTCGTAGGCGAGGGTTTTTTGATGCTTCTTTTTGTTTATATGTTCTGGCTGATCTGTAGCCTTTTCATGGGTTGGTTGTTTTCAGAATTCCTATGGCGTAGTCTGGTAGCGTCTCGCACGTGGTGGGGCGCTTTTGTTTTTTTTTGTTTAATTATATTAGGCCTGTTTGTTTTTTGGTGTCTTACCCTTAGCTGTCTTCCTTTTAGTAGTTGTTCAGTTTGTCGTTGGGGTATGTCTGGTTGGGGGGTTGAACCAAGGGGTGGGCGGTGGTTGCGTGGTGTTGTGCAGGGGGGGGGTGGGGGTGGTTGAGTGAGTGAGTGGTGTGGATTGGGTGTGATCGGGGGGTAGAGCTCATGTTGTGGGGGAGAGGGAGGTAGTTGTGGAGGGGGATAAGAGGTGATGGGGGGAGAGGCCAGGAGGGGAGAGGCGGGGTTGAGGTGTTGCGACACGGGAGATGGCGGGTGGTGTATGCGGGTGCAGGCGGGTATGTTCTGGGGCCTCGGGGTCTGGGTCGAACCTGCTAATTCTTGTTTGTATTGTTATGGGTGTCGTCTTGCTTAGGATTTGCTTCGTAGCGTTGTCTCGCGTGTGTGGAGCTTTCTGTGAGGGAGCTCTGGATTTTAGAGTGGTTAGTCTGTTGTTTTGCGTGTTAGTGTTTATCGTTCTTAGCGTTTGGTTTTGGTCCCTTTGGGTGTTTGCGATCTATTTTTTCGAATTTTGTTCTTTATTGGCGTTTTCAGTTTTTTTGGTTTTCTTTGTTGTTTTTTCTTACTGCATTATTTAATCCGCTGTCTTTTGTACCTGGTTTTGTCCTGTTTTTTATGGACTTTTTGGTTTTAAGGTTCTTTGCTGTTCGGGCGTTTTTGTTTTCCTTTTGTCGTTAATACCTAGTTGTTTATTGCTTGTCGGTTCGAGTGTGTTTTTTATTTGGATGTTTTTCTTTTGTAGGGTTCTGTTTCTTAGATTGCTGCTTTATGTGTTAGCTTTTACTTGTTTTAGGCGTGTGCGTTTTTTATAGTATGTTTTGGTCTGGGGTGGTCTTTTCTTGAGTGTCTCCTGCGTTTTGGTTTTACTCGGAGCGTCCACATATTTTTGGGTGGTACCTTGTGCGCACCGGGATTTTTTGGCTTTGGCGTTGCTTTTGTTTTTGGTCTTTTGGGTTCCGTCTTGATAGTTTTCTATGGTTATTCTGTTTATTTGAAAGTTCTTTATCGGTTGCGACTGGTCGTGGCTCTCCGTATGCTGTTGGCGTATGTTCGTGTGGCTGTGGGGGTCTGGTAGGGTTTGCGGGATGACTTCTGTGGTTGTGCTAGTTTTCGCCGGCAATGCGTTGTGTTGGTAAGTTAGTGGCGCGGGAGTTTTGCTTGTAGTGAACTTTGTTGGTTTTCGTGTGTTCGTTTAGCCGTTGTGATGCTGTCGGCGAGTTATTTGTGGGCTCTTTCTCTCTTTGTTTTCTTTTGCCTATCGCTGTCGTTAGGTTTCGCTATTATATTTGGCCTGGTCTGTAGGGTGCTTAGTAGATTCCTTTTGCCTTCTTGGGTGGGGTCTTCAGGTGGTGTGCTGTGTTTTTTTTGTTTTGGGATATCGTAGGTTGATAGGCTTGGGAGGTGTCAGTGTGCTTTTGTGTGTCTGGTGTTAGGGGCCTTTCGTATTAGGCTTCTGTAAGTTTGTGTGTTGTCGCTTGGTCGTTCTTGACTTTGTGGTGGTTCGGTCTTCTATTTCTTGTGTGCGTGCTCAATTTTTCGTTTTGCCCCCCCCCCCCCCCCCCCCCCCCCCCCAGTACTGTTTTTTGTCTACTTTGGAACTTGCTCGCTTGCTAGCGGGCGATTAGTCTGTAGTTTATCTTGCAGTAGTTTCCTGTCGCCTTCGCGGGTGTTTGGCTTTGTTTGTCGGGGGATTGGCGCTGGCGCGGTAAGGAGTTTAAGTGGGAACGTTGGGTTATGTCTGCCGCCTGGTGCGGGGGGGGGTTGAGTGGGTGTTGTGCGTGCTGAGGTGGGGTTGATGGGTGGCTGTGTCGTGGGGTGAGTGTAGGGGGGGTGTAGGGGTTCTACGGGCACGGTGGTTGCTGAATTAGGTTTGGGGGTTGCGTGTCTTTGTTGTATGTCTGGTTGCTGCTCGGATCTTGTTCTTGCTTGGTATTGTATATGGGTTGTTTGTGTTTTTTTTGTATGATTGCTTGTGTTTCGGAGCTTGGCACTATGGTTTGTTTTTTTTCTTGCGGTTTAATATGGGTTTTGTCTTTGTTTTTTTTGGTAATTTTATTAAGGTATTTTTGTCATTGTGTTCTTGAATCGTTGTCTTGGGTGCGGTCTGGTTTGAATTGCTGTTTGTGTGGTTGTGGTATTTGTATTGCTAATAGGTGGGCGGGTTGGGGAGTGGGGAGGGGGCAGGGTAGTAAGGCTGGAGGTGGCAATTCGCGGGGTTGTCTAGGGGTGGAGGTTGAAGGTTGTTTGAAGGAGAGCGTAGGTGAGGAGGGGGATCTGGATTCTGGTATTGGGTTTGAGGGTTGTCGTTCCCACTTTCGTTGGCTGTTTTATTCTGTTGATTAGGGTGGTCTTTTTAGGTTGTCCTATGTGTTTTCATTTTTGCTTTAAGTGGCGTTTATCACCGTTTGGGTTTTGCGAGTGCTGGAGTAGGCGTGCGGTGGAACAGTTCTTTAAGTAATGGTTGGGGATGGGCGCTGCGGACGCGGTGAGGACTAGGGGGGGGGGGGGCTTTATGAGGTTATAGGGTGTGGTTGTGTATCGGTTGGTAGGTGTTAGTGGTGGTCGTCTTTGTGTGTTCGGGGCTCGGTATTGGACGTTTATCGGTGGGTTTCTTCGCGGTGGGTGTGTGTGGTTCTTTTGTTTGTGTTTGGTTTTTTTTCTTGAAGATTTGGCTTGGTTCGTGTCCTAGCTCGTGTTTGTCGTGTAGCTGCTCGCTATGTGTTCTCTGTTTATGGGTTGGGTTTAGGGTCGCGTGTTCTCGATAGCGGGTTTTTTGTTACTTTGTGGTAAGTTGCTGAGGTGGAACTGTAGGGGTGAATGTTGTATTTGTCTGGTTTGTGTTCCTTTTTGGGTGGTAATTTCGCGTCTTTTTTGTACGTTAGAAGTGTTGGTAGGTCTAAGTATTCGGACAGATAGCCAAATTTGTGTTTGTTCTTTATTAGTTTTGTTAATCGTTCTTTTTTGTATGTCTTTTCTGGGGTTTTTGTTTTAGCGTCATTGCCTTTGTTGACAGAATAGATTCAGTTAAGGGTAAAGCAAGTGGGCCTTTGACGGTAGGAGCTAGGCGGGGATGGTGAGTGGTGATGATTGTGACGCGGGGTGTGAGGGGGAGGGGGGTGGAACGTGGGTGGGTGGGAGGTGGGGGGGGGCAGGGGTGGGGGGGGTGGTGGGGGAGGGAGGGGAGGGGGACGTCAGGGGGGGGTACTGAAAAGTGGGGGAGTGGGTTGGTGGGGAAGTAAGTAGCTGTTCGAGGGGGGTGAGTTTGATAGGGGTGTTGTGGTTATTGGATTTTTTGTGGCGGGGGTGAAGGTTGTGTTGTTTGTGTCGGCCTTTCGTTCGTTAGTATTTCTCGAACATTTTCTGTTTTAGGTGTCTCCAATGATCCTGGTTTCTGTGTTGTTTGTTTGGTCGTATGTGATGGTGATTGCGTTTTTTTTGTCGCTCGATTTACTTTGACCGTGCGCGGCGTTGGCTGCGGTCCACATCTTTTTTGGGGCGACATATAGGGGTGGTGTAAGATGGTGGTGGAATTATTGGGGGTTGGTGAGTCGGAGGGAGTGCAGGTCTTGGAATGGGGGCAATGATTTTGTGATATTTGTTCAGTAGGGGTGTTCTTTAGCGTTCTTCTCGTTACTTTATATTGTCTGTGTTTCTTTTTGTCTATCTTCTACTGTTTGTGTTCGATCGTCTCGCGGGTGGTTTGCTATAAGTTGGTTCAGGATGACTCTTTCTTCTAGCAGTATGGTTAGATTGTGACTAGTTTTCTGGTTCGTGTGTGTTTAGAGCATGCGTAATGGGGTGTTACATTTAGTTCTGGGAGCGATGGTGGGTGTTTCGTTTTGTTTTTCTGGTTGTGCGTTTCTTTGCTTTTTGTGTCTGGGACTTTCGGCCATAGTATGGATGGTTAGGCGGAGAGGAGGTGGGGTGGGGTGTGTATGGGAAGGGGGGTTGGGGTAGAGGAGCTGAGTATTAGGTGGGTCTGCTATAAGTGTGTGATGGGGGGGAGCTTGGTGGTGTCGGTTGAATTTGTTGTTTAGTGGGTGCATCACTGTGTGGCATTTATTCGGATGGGATCGGTGGAGTTTGTTTGGTTGTGCTAGTTCTGGGAGTGAAGAGTAGTGGTCGGCTCAGTGCGGGTATGTGGGGTAGGTGCTGATTGGTGGCGCGGAGGGGCGGTGGGTTGCTGTCTTGGAGAGTGTAAGGGTAGTTAGTCTAATTTTGTTTGGAGCGTGGTGGAGGATGGGTTAGCTTGTGTGTTTTGGTTGTGCTGCACGCTATTTCTCCGGGATGGTTTCGGGTCTCGGCATCTATGAATGTGGTGTCGGTTGGTCCTATCTATTGTATACTATTGGTTGCTCTCTTGGTTTGC